CCTACTATAGATATATGTTGCTGAATCTGCTCTTTGGAGTTTTCTCCGAGAAATCATTACTTTTGTACTTTATTTTCTTTCCAAATTTGGACTTGTCAGATTTCTTCTTGTGATTTCGACCTACATATCTTGATAAATTTCCCTAAGTTTATCATATCGCCGTATCTGCTCCGTGTAACCTAGTTCTCTCCGAAAAATCATTACTTCTGTTTCTTTGTTTCTCGTTTATTACAATATCAGCGTTTTCTTGTTTATCAGGAATTTTCAGATTTTATTGATTAACAAATTCTGGTCGACTTCAATTATTGGTTTACATCATTCATTACTCGTGTAAAACATGAAGAAAATGGAGTTTTGCATCTTGTGAGGTTTTATAGAACAGTCGGTTAGAGCATTGGTTCTTAACATGACGTCATTTGCTTGGTTACGTCGAGCGAATGGCGGCTGTGGGTTCCGATATTAATTTTCAGCCTTCACAACCCTGGAGTAATCATTTGAACCCCTCACACCCGCCAAAACAATGGACATTCAAAACATTGTAAATTTTATAATTTTTATTCACACTAATCAAAATAATCACACATAATAATGGATATAATCATGCGGCCGCAATAAGATGCTCAGTGGGAAGGTCGTTGTTGTTTTCTTTCTCCCCCAAAAATACTTCACCTACAACAGTTGTCCACACCCCCGACACCCCAGTCCCAAATCCCGCTAGGGGGTGAAAACAGCCCATGCAATGTGAAATTAGGAAGTTTTTGCCAATCGTGAACTCATCGTTCTAAAAGATGTCTTCAGATCCTGGACTGAGCAAAATATGCCTCCAATCGGATTAACAACTAATAAATACTTTTTGAATTCAGTTGTAATTTCATTTTGCCTTAATCTGTAAGAACACATTCTTCTTTCCGCCATGTTTGAAATAATTTAAAAGTTTTGGATCTCTGGATATTGGAAAATTTCCGCACATTTTAACATTAATCAATTTTGAATGAAATACTTCATAGTTCGATTTCTGGCTTCATTAAGTTTTCTAAACTGTTTCTCCATTCGTGTTAATTTGTCTTCTACCAAGCGGCCAACCTTTCGGCCATACCTAATTTTGGTGAAGCTATAAGTGAACACAATAATACAAAAGTTTTCATCCAATTCTTGTTTCTGGAAAAATAATATCGACTATTGATTCGATTCATTCTTTTTTAAAAACAAAAATGAAGTGACTCGAAGAGTCTTGTTCACCTCGTTTAATGGTAGAATAAGTTTTCCTGAACCATTATCGAATTTTTTTTTAAGTTTTAAGATATTCAACTAAACATTTAGACAATTATTGAATTTTTCTTCTCCCAAGAACACATTTTACTACTTAACTTTTCACTGTTAGAAACAGTTATCGTCTTTGATTCAATTAATGATCTACAATAAGCCTGTTTTGAAAGTTAAAAAACAGGAAAGATAGTCCCAAGAGTAAGCTATATTACTCACAATGTTCGTTTTAAAGGAATTGTGAAGAGGTTTTCTAAATTTTTTATTATGTGTATCGAGGACACTAACAGCATCAATTTACACCATTCCAATTTTCAATCAGACGTCTGTGGTTCCTGCAATTCCAATAAAACTAAATGTTTGATGACGTCACTAATCACAAAATATGCTTTATCACATAAGGTCCTTTGCGATTAGTGACGTCATCAAAACTTAGTTTTAGGGAATCATGGTGGAACTGCAGGAACAACAGACGTCTTTTCAAAAATTGGAATGGTGTAAATTGATGCTATTATAAATACTGCTCTGTTGGATCGTCACATTTAAATGGCAATAAATAATTTTACTAAAGGTTTATGATATTGAAGGTCATGGTTCGCCATTTTGGGTCTTGAATATATGTAAATAGCCTTCTGAAGTATTAGAACTGCGCGAAAATCACATAACCCCTTCAAATATACTTCAAACTAGAAATTTCACTTTCCTTTTTTTATGTTATGTCTTTTCTATATATGGCGTAGTATCAAGAAAAGACAAGTCGATATATTGACTTTTAAACGATGATAATTCTGTCCACACATGGATTTGAATGTCTATAATTTCGACTGTGAACTGTGGACACTTTTGCTGTTTAGCTAAGCTAAAAGAAATCTAAGTTACGATTTGTCAAACGGAAGGCGAATCTGTCCCTTTAAAGATATATAATATTCTGTTATCTAATAGCATTTTAGTCTGTTGACGTCAAAAGAAATTGTCTGGTGCCATATTTTAATTATAATCTGTAAAAATCAATACTGTATTAATTATAGAGCTAAATAATTCATTAACGCCAAGCAGATAATGTTACTGTTTTTATACAGAAAATCTTTCCTGTCATTTTGTTTCAAGAAATTATCGCTAAAACAACTATTGAAGTATTGTGGAGGGCGCTGTGGGGCAACCTATATGTAGAATCTTAATGTTAGATGATACACGGGTTGGGTAGGATAGTTTCTTTGCTTGGTTTACCAGATGATCGGACTGTCCAAATTAAAAACCAATATTGTATCTGCTATGAAGTCTTGCTTGTCTCTAATTACAGAATTAGAAATTGTGTAGGATTCAAGTTTATCGTTTGAAAGTGTAGAAGCTATTTTGAATTCATTAGTAAAAAATCTACTAAGCTAGTTATTGATTTAAAATGTTTTTCTTGTGTTTCGCTGTTCTAATTGATAATTTAACACAAAGTTATTGATTAAAACATCGAAAAAAAAAACTTCTTGACATCAACAGTACAGAGATGCTTCCGGCTTTAGTAAGTGTATTGGCAACTCGAAGCGACTTGGAGTTTAATGTCTTACTTGTTTTGCACCCGATTTGACAAATAATGACGAGATCGGGAATTCAGGGTAAATGGTATTCGAGATAATAACGCCATAATGTTGTCTGTTTTTTGTGGAATTACAGGAACCACAGACGCCGAACATGAAAACGAAAAATGTACAATGAAGACAAGTTTGATTCAACATTTTGCTTTCCATGTGTCATGGGATCTCTAAGGTGTAAATTGAAACAAAACTCGTATCACTGCCATTTTGCCACATTGCGTGTCATTTCTCATCTTCTTATAAAACCATCAAAATATGCAAAATGGTAGGAAATAAGAGTCGTTTTCTTTCGAAATATCGTGTGGAAGCAGCAAAAATATTGTTAGCTGTGCTAGGCACAATTTGTTATCAGCACGAGTCCATTTCATACCAGTTCTGAAACTTCTAGGACACTGTTTATTACTGAGAACACGGTATCAATAAGTCCAATACCGTATTTGTCAGAAAAAATCTCGAGCAATTATACACTAATCAATAGAACTCAACGTACTTTTACCCTCAGATGTTATAAATAACTTACCACACATCAAAGGGATGTATTCCCTTAAATTAATCGCTTAGTCAGTTAATATCATAATGTATTTTTCAGAAAAAAATTTCAAAGCAATGTTTGCTTTTAGTTAAAGGGGGCATTCAGCTTTTCTTATTTGTAAGTCGAAAAATGTCTTTTGTGAAAACTATACACCATAATCTGGAGAAATGTGCTCTTTAACGTATCCTAAAAGTTTTAACTAAAATATCCAGCTGTTAGTTTCTTAACGCCAAAATCATTTAAAAAGTTAACCAAACTGCTTAATTAATAATAAGTACTCCCCCTTTATTCTATCAGATAAAAGCAGAAATTATAAACCGACTATATCCGTGTAAGGTCCACCAGCTCGTACAACAGAAAGTGAGACAAGTTGTCTTAGTTTATCAACTATATATATATACCCCTTTAGAGTGTACCAACTTGAAAAACGATATTTAGACGTCTACATCCCTTTAATAAGTATTCATTAATTCATTATATTTCTTATTCTTCAGATTATTTGCCGTCACAGATAAATTCTCTCCAAACTTTATATATATGTAGAATGTAAAGTATATAATCTCAATCAATCTGAAGTTCTGTGAAGGTTTATAGTCTCTGGTTTTCTCGGAATAATTGTGAATAGGCCTAACTGGAATACGGTTACTTGCAAAGCGAAAAGTCTGTAAATACAATGATGACTGTATAATATCGTTATTTTCAAGAAGTTCTATGCCATTATAGAGTCTCTGGCCACTTCGGAATATATTTGAAAAAGGAAAACGTTGAATGGAAGACACAGCGCATATCTCTCAAGTGTTTACAGAATGAGCGTATCATTGGAATACATGTACATGTGAATACAGGCATTAGTTCTGAGGTGCGATTAGAGATCCCGGTGTCTCCAGAATACATGTGTATAAGGAACATCTCGGAGAACGTTGAATCGATGTAAAGCGAAAATGTCTCAAGCCTGCTTATACAATCTGTAGAATGAGTGGTTAATCTCGGCGGAATACATGTGAATAAGGACAATTCTTAGAGTATAGTGAATGGATAGCCAAGCGAAAATCTCTTGAATCTGTAACATAGGCAACTTATCTATAGTTTGAATGTAAAAACCAGCATTGAGAAGTTAACGGAAACATATATAGAGTCTCTGGTGTGAATATATCCGAATAAAGAACATTCGTGCAGTATAGTGAAGCGAAATTCTCTTGGGTCTGTTTGAAGGTATAATCTCATTGCATTGGAATAAGTGTGAATACATGCATTTAGGAGTTCTGTGAAGGTGTTTTTATAAACAAAGTCTCCGATCTCTTGGGAATAAATGTGAATAAGGAACATTCTTGCAGTATAGACTGGATAGCCAAGAGAATTCCCTTGAACGTATAATCTCGTTGCATTGGAAAAGTCTTAGTGTGAATACTTGCATTGACGAAATATGGGTGAATAAGCAACATTCTTGCAGTATAGTGAATGGAATGCCAAGCGAAATTCTCTTAAGTCTGATGGTATGATCTCATTGGAATAAGGATTTGTGTTAATACATACATTACAAGGGATAATAACTTTAACTCGAGAATTCTGTGTATCAGTTGTTCCTTGGCCGGTATTAATTTTTCTGAATTGCCAACAGAATGGGTCAAAAGGCCAGTAAAAAGGAGCCTGAAAGAGGATCCAGATTCTATGAAGAACAGAGATTCGAGGAAGCAATTGAAGACTGGAAATCAATCATCTCAAAGAAATCAAGTGTCAACGACAAATTCACTCTTTATGGACAAATCTGTCGTTCTTATTTAGACATTGGAAACACTGCAGATGCTTTGGACTTCGCCAAAAAACAAATGGAGTTGGCGAATAATCAAAATAAAGATATTATGAAATCGGAAGCTTTTTTCCATCTGGCAATCTGCAACGAAATGATCAGCGAATTTTCCAAATCTATAGCATTCTGTAGAAACAGTTTACAAATAGTTGAATCTGAGAATCCTTTAGAAGGATACCTTCATTTGTGTATGGGCAACTCGTTTGTCGGGTTGAGTGAGTTTCGTAAAGCATGGACGAGTTATAAACGAGCTGAAGAGACATTCGAATCAAGTCGTGATCACCAACTAGAGATTCTTGTGAACACGAAGTTAGGCATGATGTTCACCATGTTAAAGGATTTTGATACTGGAGTAGAGTATATCTACAAGGCGTGGAATATTGTAAGTCAGCTCAAAGACAACGATCCTAATATTAAATACAGGAGATTGGTTGGTGCGTGTTTAGCAGTTCCTTACAGAAACACTGGCAAATATAAAGATTCTTCAGATCTTACAGAGGTATTGTCTAGTCTTATCAATTATCACAATTAATCATGTATGGGTACACTCTGCAAGGGGTTGACAATTCCAATCGCAGAATAGGATCGTGTGTAGCTAACATTTAAGGTTTTTTTGTCGAGGGGTCTAAATCGCCTATTCTCTATCGTACAATCCAATCAAATCGCTTCATAAAGAAATTGTCGTGATACGAAGTACCTAATGATGTCACTTATTATCATTGACCACCATCATTATCATCATTCATCATCATTCATCAATCATTATCATAACACATCATCATTTATCATTTATCATCATCATCATTGATCATCATCCATCATGCATAATTCTTCGTCAAAATCACCATTCATCATTGCCCATCATCTTCACCATTCATCCCCTGTCATCATTCATCATTGACCTTCATCATCATCATTGACTATCATCATCATCGTCATCATTATCATCAATGTTTAATAAACAATTGTATTTCCAGGATGCGATGAAGGTAGCCATGCTATATAATGATATTGTGGTACAAGTCAAATGCATGGTATTATTCGCTGATATCCATCGTTCAAGGGGAGATAATGAGGTAATAGATAAAATCAAATAATATCACATGCGTATATCACGTTTTAGGAGCCAGGTAAATCCTCGGCGAAACTCTTGGCAATGATTTTACAAGGATAACAGCGTAGGTTTGCGTGATCCTGTGTACAAATTGGTCTTTGGCCAAACCTCTTGGCATTGGTATTTCTTGGATTGTAAGTAAGACTTTTTCCAGAAAGAAATGAATTAGCAGTGATGGAAATATTTTTGGAATATTTTATTATGCTGTCATGGTTATACATTTTATACCTGGATGACTTGGTAAGGCCGGTTGATAATTTTTTTTCGTTATCCAGCCCAACAAATCTGACCTGGCTGGAAGCCAGGATCAACGTGAGCCGAAGTTGTTATATCCTTTATTGTTATACTTGGTAGGGCTGCTTTAAACTGATGTTCTAACAAGCCAAATAATGTAAATAGGATATCAGACAATGTAATGTTTTCTTTCCTAATTCCGCTCTGAATGATTGATAGAATTCATGACTTGTATATCGGAGTTTCTAGCCTTATTTATAAGGATAATAATATTTATTGTTGGCTTAAGATTATGTATTATTTTATTCTCACAATACATTCTCTGTGGTAAACATTGTCGTCTGGGACATTTCCGGAATGATAATAACATAAAGTCATTTTTTTTTATTCTGAACACAGAAAACTGTTATTGTGTCAAGCACAATCGTCTATGGCTTAGAGTCACTCTGATTCTCTATCGGCTTACGGGCAAAGCTATGCTAGTCAATCAAAGCAGTAACGAGGATTTCATTGGGTGGGGCTCACCTCGGTGTCCCTTTGCAAAACTTTCCTAATGTGGGAAGCCAGAGGATATATCTAGCACCAATTCAGAAGTGAAAGTGGAATATTTCTTTGATTTATCAAGGTCTGAGATGGGGAAGTGGGCATGGCCCATACACTTCCGCTTAAATACGAAACTGAGTCAAAGGCTCGTATCCATTGTAATACATTGAATATATCATATATATTCTGAAGACTGAACACATAAAACTGTTATTGTGTCAAGTATAATTCTGGTAAATAACCTAACATAATTTTCAAGTCTAGTTTGATTGTACACAACGTTTCAACAATTTACATTGTCATCATTAAGGCATAAAATGAAGTTCTGTAATACCTTGCCATTATGAAGATGCTGAATATTGAGTTGTTTTCTGTGGTAAAGTGGTATTGTGATAATGTCTCTATAAATCGGTGTTTATCTGACGCTTATACCCTAGAGATATTAGTGGTTTTATAATCGTTCTCAAGGCTATACCAGATCTTTATGGGAATAAATAATATATTCTTCGCTACTGAAGAAACGCACTTCAATCAAATTGAATTAGCTTTATCTCTTTATAAGATAAATTGTACTCTACCGTAATGTCTGTATTTAGGGAACTATCGAGTGCGTTTCTGTTTTATAGTAGAGCAACGGCATTTATCTAAATTTGATTTAACACATAAACAATTCACTATTGCTTGTATTGTATTGTGTTCAAAATATCTTTCTTGTTAAATATGCTTACTCTTCTAGACACCTGATACCACTTTTCATTATGAAATACTTACTCATTTATGATTGATATACTTCCTCTTGTAGACACCTGATACCACTTTTCATTATGAAATACTTACTCATTTATGATTGATATACTTCCTCATGTGAAAAGTTCTTTAGCTGCTAAAATCCAAATGCTGTTTTGGAGTTTTGTTTTTCTTGTTGGTTTTTGCCTTCTCAATTTGCCGTGTAAACTGCAAAACATATTTTGTCAGATATCAGAGTATGTTTTGTTATATATACAGAGTATGTTTTGTCATATTAGAATATGTTTTGTCATATATCAGAGTATTTGTTGTCATATATCAGAGTATGTTTTGTCAGATATCAGAGTTTGTTTTGTCATATTAGAGTATGGTTGTCAGATATCAGAGTGTTTGTTGTCAGATATCAGAGTGTTTGTTGTCAGATATCAGAGTGTTTGTTGTCAGATATCTGAGTATGTTTTGTCAGATATCAGAGTCAGTTTTGTCAAATATCAGAGTATTTTTGTCATATTAGAATATGTTTTGTCATATCAGAATATGTTTTGTCAGATATCAGAGTGTTTGTTGTCAGATATCAGAGTGTTTGTTGTCAGATATCAGAGTATGTTTTGTCAGATATCAGAGTAAGTTTTGTCATATATCAGAGTATGTTTTGTCAGATATCAGACTTTGTTTTGTCATATATCAAAGTATATTTTGTCATGTATCAGAGTATGTTTTGTCAGATATCAGAGTATGTTTTGTCAGATATCAGAGTATGTTTTGTTATATATCATAATAAAATTGAAGTTTGAGTCTTTCTATTTCAGAGATCTATTCCGAGATATGAATCGGCGTTGAGTTTACTGGAGCAGATTGGAGATAGAGTGGGCCAGGCTGATGTTTTACTAGGAATGGCTAAAGCTCATAAGAATATGTCGGATCCCGAACAGGTAATTAACGTTTCAAAGGGCATCAGCAGTTCGGGGCTGGTCTGAGTTGGGGTCAGTTTGACTTTATACAACGAGACGTTCGTGTGAATTATTAGGAGAATTGAAGGGGAAGGGGTCAAGAGCAATTCTTCCGCGCTATATAATCATAAGAAATTTAGCGTGGGTTGGGGTTGGGGTTGGGGTTCAGAAGGCAGGGCAAAGCTGGGGTAACCTCAGTAGAAACACCACTATTAGACCGTATTGATTGACAGCTGCCTTCAATTACATCTTTCTTGGACACTGTTCTAATGTGGATATACTACTTTGAAGTACATGTAAGTCCTTTTGAACTTTGACCTGCTTTCGGCATGATATTTTATGCTTTTAAAATCTTCTGTGGAAGTGGTCCTGTATCCTGCAGCAAAATAATATTTCTTTTATTTATTTGTATATCATTTCTCATTTTTAGGCTATTCAATTATCAACCAAAGCTTTGGATATCGCCAAGAAAATTGGAAATAAGGTACTTATCAATTTATTAAACCCAAAACCAAGCCCTGACATGGAGTAAGAACTGAGAGATTCATTTAATGACTTCACTACCGCAATTAGCAGCTTTTGCAATAGTGGGGTCATATATCGCTTAGTTTTAATTGAATTGAAGGAACCACTAGAATGGTGCAAATTGATGCTTTGTACCCGATACAGAACAAGTTTAGATAACCTCTTTACAATCCCTTTAAATGACACGAATATCGATGTGTAGCATGTGTTGTTATATCTCCTCTTACTGCCTGGACAGCCATAGAAAAAATCGTGATAAATTTCAGGTGCTGAAACTAAAATATCTTTGATGGGTTTTTTTCATTTTACAGCTCCAAATGCTACGATGCCACGCAATCCTGAAATTTCTGTATTTTGAAACAAGGGACACAACTCTATCTAGTCGCCATCATACTCTGGTGAAACAGCTTGCAGACGAGACTGATCTCTACTGTAGTGTTTGTGATCAGTTGATGGGGAAAGAAGCTGAAACTTTAATTGTCCTTTTCTGTGGCCATTTTACTCATGCCAGGTACGTAATATTACTGTGTAACCGGGATTTGAATTGGAATTTATATCCACCTATTCTGAACCTCTATAGAAATTAACATTCTTTCTTCTGTGCCTGAATGCGAGAAGAAGGTGAATCAACAGTATGCAATAAGGAATTTTTACCAATTCTTCAACATCATTCTACCCTTTTTCGATAATCTTGGGCGGCGTATTATATTTCGGTGACCTTGAATCAGACATTTTCTTCATTATTCCAGTCGACCAAACTGAAGGCTTACTTGGGTACAAATAATTCGTGAGGTTTGTCCATGGATCAGCTGGTCGACGTAATGCCACAGCCTGTAAATCGGCGAACAGATTCACTTTTACCAGACATATCTGTTATATATTTCAGATGTACTATATCCAGGCTACACCATACCTGTGTTATTTGTGAGAGAAAACCTAATATTGACGTTTATAAAACCCTGATAGATGATTGACCAAAGGGAATTTTTAGCTTGTTTTTATGTGGACGTTACATACTTGACATTGGTTGCTTAACACTCCTGCTAAGTTATCTAAAGACAGTGGCACATGTAACCCTCACCCCACCCTCTTCTCTCTATTTAAAAGGGAGTGGCACATCTGCCCCTTCTCTCACGCCCTTTCAAACGTATTGACACATGTACCCCTACCCCATACTCTCCATTCAAAAGAGAGTAGTACATTTATCTGCCTGTTCTCTCCTCCTCAAGTTTCGTACCTCTCCGTATCCCCCTACTTATCCCCTTCTTAATGCTTATCTACTGCTGAATTGTACATAAGGCCTGATATACACATAGTGTGGCAGCCATCTTCTTGAACTCTTCTACGCGTGCATATTTTCTCTCAATATGAAACTGATTATGTGTATATGGTAAAGTTCATGGTAAAATTAGGGGTGTTGCCTGTCAAATCATATCCAGCCTTGCATTTATAAGATATTTTCAAATTCTTTTTTTTTACAAAAAATATTTATTCACAGCCCAAAAGATAACATAAAACATAAAAAGTCACAAAAATTTCATCAATGTTTGAAGTTGTACAAAGAAAACAAAATAAAGTTATGTGTTCTTTTCTACTTCTGATCGTGCCATGCAGTGTGGCTTCTGATCGTGTCGTGCAGTGTGGCTTCTGATCGTGTCGTGCAGTGTGGCTCCTGATCGTGCCATGCAGTGTGGCTTCTGATCGTGTCATGCAATGTGGCTGCTGATCGTGCCATGCAGTGTGGCTGTCGATCGTGCCATGCAGTGTGGCTGCTGATCGTGCCATGCAGTGTGGCGGCTGATCGTGCCATGCAGTGTGGCTGTCGATCGTGCCATGCAGTGTGGCTCCTGATCGTGCCATGCAGTGTGGCCTCTAAAATATTTGTTATTCTATGACATATCACTTCTCAGAATTAAATCTGGACGAGGTTATAATACAATTAAAAAATGAATACAGAAAAATGAGATTGCTCGATGTCTTCATTTTTATGAAAATATAAATACTGTTTATTATCAATGTTAAAATGTTCTAAAATTTGCCTGAAATTTCAAATGGAACGGAAATGGACGAAATTCAATGTGTCTGAAATATCAGAAAAGATTTTAAATCGATTGGGATGTACTGATGAATTTGCAGTCTAATTGAACTAATAACACAATTTCGGCAAGTGTTTCAGGCATAAAATTATCGTCAGGACAACTGGTTTTGAAATTAGGTAACCATTATTCAAATATGTTTAGTTCAAAGAAACATAGGGCGTTAATAATCAAATCGAGACTAGTTCCGTTATTGAAGAAGATAGTTAAAAGGTTTATAACAACCAAAGACTATCTGATTGGTTAATAATGCTACTCCTATATCCGATTAACCAATCAGATTAATTAGTACTCTGGCAAAGGGCTACAAAAAATCTGAAAAAGGAGCATATTTACAAAGCTAATATAGATTTTGTATATCACCATCCTACTTTTTCCAAATCTCATCTAGCCGAACGATGAAGTAACTATCAGAAGCAAGATCATCAAGCTATTACGAAGCTTATACCTTGACTGCAAAAGACATATTCAATAATCACGGAAGTTAAAACAACGACTTGATTGTACGCTTGCAAATACAGCCAATCAAGAGTGTACAGAAAGCCATAATAAGTCTAATTGGTTGATTTCAATGGCGTACAATCCATCCAAATCATTCCATGATACAAGAAAGGTGGATATTGCAGTCAAGCTATAAGGCGTAAGTTCGTAATAGATCGACTTTGTGAAGATGAGGTCAGATGAGAGACAATCTTGGTACAGAAAAATGAAAATTGCGTAAGATAAGCCTAAAACACCCTGGATAAATTCACTCGATTAAAATAATGAAACATAATAAATAACATAAATACTGCCGGTCCAGTAGTTTATACACACATCAGAACTGATTTCTACAGCTTCAAGGTATACAGTTGTATAAATGTTTTCTTATGTCACATGATAGAGCTCGATATCAGCTATGTATGAAGTGCTGTAAATTTTTGCTTTATCAGCTGATAGATTTCTATCCATATCAGTTCTCGATATTAAAATCCAAATTTCAGAGAATATCAATGACCTTGAATCCTAGACAACACTAATAGCGGTCAAAACATTTCTATGAATTGCAGACGAACTAGACATCGAGACTTCATTTTTATAAAAGTGACACAAAAAGCTAAAATATTTAGACAGCTCTATCCATTTGTTTTAACAGTCTTATAAAAATAACGATTTCAGTGGCGGCGCCAGCATTCCGAGACTGGGGGTACATATAGGGGACAGACTGGCCCAATGGGGAGACAACTGCTGAGGTGGCGTTTTAGAGGGTTCTCTCAAGAAAATTTTAGAAGAAATGAATTGATTTTGTGCATTCTGACACATATTTTGGAGAAAAAAGATAAACATTTAGATTTGTTGAAAATAAACCCCTTTGTACCCACACTGGCGCCGCCACTGAGCAAGTCATGTCAATGTAAAGTTTAGTTGCTCGTCTTCTATTTTCAAGGGGATCGTAGTTGTTTCCTTTCTAACAGTAACATGTCCTGAGAATAATCAAATATGCATTCAGTGCTAGCAGGCTTTAACAGCAAGAATCTGGTCAAATGCTATTGGCAACAGTTGCTATTGAGGTACGTGTCCTGCTTTTTGTCACAAATTCAAATCCAGTGGATCGTAATATTCGCTTGTAGTCTGGTATTTCTCGATATGATCGCTTCGCCCAAATTGATTGCGAATTGTCTGATGAAATATTACTTTGAATCGCCAGTCGTTCTGAGCCTGAGCAAAGTGCACATCAAATGGTCCGTACAGCCTTTGCGAACTAGCCCAATGTCTCAGAGAGGGGCTGGAATCTTTTAAGGAGGGAGGATCAATGAAGACACGCACAATTACATAGGGATAGGGTTATAACAGAGCAATGGTCAAACATTTTCAGAGCCACCCCCCCCTTTTTTTTAGTTACAGCCCTACAGTCTTGATGGATCAGATTGATGATATCTACTACCTGTTATTTTTGAACCGGGTGTAAAACAAAAATCACCGAGAAACATAATGTACAATAGAACACATACAGACCGAGTCCATTATAGAATAACTTCACGCGGTCTGCATACAGGCTTGAAATTTCAGGCATATTATTCATAAGAAAATAGAAATCACTGACAATAGGACTGCCATGGTAACAATGGGAATGAAGGGTATTCTGAAGATGGTGGCTTCATTACGAGGTGTAGTAGTTTTTACCATTTCTACAAAATAAAAAAATAACAAAGTTGCCGCATTCCGAAATCAGCCATGACAGTTGTTCCCCCATTGAGTCTATCTTACCGTTATTTATAGGGGCCCACCACTGCCTACGATAGCAGTTTTTGAGCTATTTTATGACATATGGCACAGGATGATACTATGTTTCTCAAATATTTCTAAGAACACCAGAAACCAAAGCTAAGGTAACTCACCCCCGTCCGTACCACTAGAGATGGGTGTTGAGGATTGGTCTGTCGTGATGACGTCAGAGGGTTCGACGTCACATTTACCAGTACCTGAAATATAATATAATAAAACGAGTTTTACGTTGTACTTATTAGCTTCAGACGGAACTTTTGAAGACACCGGGTATCGCCAGATTAGTGCAAATACCGAAGCTAGCTAGGGGAAAAAACATGTTTGCTCTAGACTCTAAACACGTCTCCTATACTCCCTTAAAAACATATGCCTTCTGCATTCAGCAATCCTCGGAACCTTGCGTAAGCTGAATCTGTTGTAGAGCACTAGCGTAACTTACACAGTAGGTCGTTTGATGAAGAATGTTGACCTCAATTAGTGCTTTGGGCCAAACCCCAAGCACATGTCGGGGTTTTACACCTATACACATCCCGAGACCAAGGGCCTACTTACTGTTAACTTCAATGGTTAGTGACATCAGCCGTCCTGTAGATACCACAGTTGTTGAATTCTGACCTTCTGAACAGTCATTCTGATGTTGAGACAGGTACACTGTCTGGTTACCGTCTTCAGAAGCTGCCTACAAAACATAGACATCGGCTTAACTACAATAGGGACTGACTGAACCAAGAACACCGAATATAGAAATGAAATGTCTTCGAGTTTTACACCCTACTTGCCTCTTCCTTATTAGGTGATGAAATGAGATAAGTTTTATGTAAACTTCTCACATATAGTAATCCGATAAATAATTAATAGATTTGAATTCGAAATACTTCATAATGCAAATCTGATCTCAATACAGATAATATGATAACGCATAGAACCTCATTCACATTCAGAGAGGCCCCTTCGCTGACCGCATCTGGCTTGTGCAGACACATCAGTATTTTGCTTTATTGATTCTTACACATTGTAGCATCAGTAACGATGATTAAAGTAAAAACGGGGTTATATTACACAATGGAGTTCAACAGGTCGGAGTTCATTCTTGATAGTCGAAGTGTGCCAAATGTAAATGTTTCTTTTACGACGGCAAAGAAAGATAGCTCATGTGAACGGTACTTTTATCCTTTTGACAGTCAAACTTGTATCAAGCAAGCAGTCATGGGACCTTTGAATTAACAGATTATAGAAGATGGTTGCTTAAGGTCATAACAAGTTAAAAATTTGGGACTTTTCAGTATACATACCATACAGTAGAATTTAGACTCTGTTTGACTGTAGATTGAGATATAGGTAGTGGCTGTAGCAGAATCAACGTGAGAATACACACAATTTGAATTTTCTGCAAATAAAAGATAATATTCAAATAAAATTGAGGTTTACGTTCAATTGTTCTCTGTTAAATACTTGTTGTATATTTTTGATAAAAAAAAAACACAGGGTTCTATTTCTGCTGAAAAAAGCACTAGACAACACCAAATTCTATTCTATTCTACAGGTTTGGGCAACTGTTGTACTATTGTATGTATATAGAAACACCAGATATCCCCTAACTCTGGGTTATATTCTTCTCCTTTCTGCTGTACCTATAATCCCAAGCACCGAATCGGGTCTATTCACACCTATAGTATTGTATTTCTTGTTAAGATAACCTACCTGGTAGAGAGTTACTGTTTCCACACAGAGAATAGTTGAAGGCCATTTGGTTTTTATTGTGACAAACATCTAACAGTGCACCATTCGGACATTCTGATTGGCCACTGGAATCGGTGTATGAAACCAGGAATTCTCCCAATATTATATCAGGACATCTTGTTGACAGGCTTCCGTTTAACGTATCTACAAAATTCAGATGATATGGTAAAGGTTTCAACTCAATATATCACACTCCGATTTTTTTAAGCAAATTTCAGATTGATCAAGTAGATAAATAGAAGTAACAATGTCAATATATACATATCTACATATCGCTGCATTTACTAACGTAATAAAGAAAGGTGGCCATTGCATTCAAGGTATTATGCAGTTCATAATGGCCTGACATTGTGAAGATACTGTTCTACATAACTTACCTTCTCGACCAATCATTGAAAACATCTCTGGACTGTAGGGTTCCTGTACGGTACACGCCTCTGCCATCGTGACCTCGGTGCTCTCGGTTCTGATAAGAACTCTTTCATCGTTATTCTGAGAGTCTTTGGCTGGAATTGTTAAAGAAATTGTCAGAATGTTTCTAGCCTTTTCTATATTTGTTTCGTCGTCTCTTCAAGACGTCCGAAATTATAACAAATTCTACCGTATTTCACTTTAGTAGGTAAACCCCGTATTGTAAACTGGGATTATAAATATTCATAATGTCACGTGATTATCGAAAGGCCAACAAGCTTCTACAAAAGGTCTTTACAAAACATGTGAATTTTTTATTATGAGATGAGCATCTCCTCTCGTGTTGGTTAATAGAAAATTTACTGCCTCATTCGATGTTTAAAATGTATTTCATTTTATTAGACCGATCCAGTGCAGACGGGGTGGGAAATTGGAGGCGATTTGGTTGGATGAAAAAGCGAAGACAAGATACCTGTTAGTCTCCTAAATAACCACAAATCAGAGCTCACTTGGCGGTTGTCAATACAAATATAAGCTCGAAAGTTGACGGTTGAGAATTCGAACGGTTCAGATCTGAAAAAAAATACGTAATGAGAATGTTGGACGAACAGTCGTCACATCATCGTCCATTATCTTGTATTTTATCTCTGCTAGTCGGTAGCTCAAATGAGTTGTGGGTCGTGAACTGAAGTGGGTTGGGTCCCCTACCCCGTGAATTTTGCTCTCCTGCAGGTTTTTCTGGGGTTGGGGCCCCCTTGGGATTGGGAACCCGTGGAACCAGTCCTAGATAAAGACAACGCCCGCTTTCAGCCACAGAACTACTGTGTAATCCGAAATATATACACTGGAACCGTAAAACAATGTCGGATTAGCAAGTTCGTCGGAGTTCTCAAATTTTTGTTCTACCATGTGCCACATGTTAAAGAATAGGCTATAGCTCAATGACCCAGATAAGATTCTACGGACAACTACGTTGTATACATTATTAATGTAATAAAAACCAAGCGTACAATCCAATCAACTCGCTACATTTACAAACTTCTGTGACACAAGTTTGTAGTCAAGGTATAAGACGAAGTAATAGTAGTAATAGCTTGACATGGTGAAGATGAAGCCTCACCTGAGTAAGTATTTATTCCCGTCGTTTTCAATGCATTCAAATTGTTTATATCCAAATGTCGAGACGCTGATACTATTCAAGGTAGTGGAATTAATGGAGATGGGACCCAGAGCACTGCTTATCCAGTCTCCTTCGAGGTCTGGTGGGAAGGTACATGAACCTGATACATCTGTGGAAAGACAAAATTCAAACTCAAATTCAAAATGACAGACATTGGAAATGAAAATGGAAACGGTACTGAAAATGAAATGAAATTTGATATCAGACTACACTTTTATCTTCATAAATAATGTTCCATGCTAAGTATGGAATTACCCTTTAAAAGTTTTTAAAATTTTTGGCTTAATTAAATGAAAATCTGGACATTTACTATTCAAATCATCTACAGACCATATAAGACTACATCATCAAAATATAATCAACGCAACTGACCCGTTTTATATCAACATAAATCATATTCTAGTTTTTTTCCAATAAATAAAATATAAAAAACCTATATAGACGAAATACGTTTTGCAACAGTTGGTTCTCTAATTTAATTAACAGGAAATGAAATTACATTTTACGAGTTTTACGCCCTACTTTAATGCTCCTTCTACAAACAATTTTGCAATTATCTTTGTCGTTGGTTAAGTATGGTAGTTTTCAATGTCATATTACACGCTAAAAAACTCCATTTCATTTCATTCATAATCTGGTTACTATAATCTAGATACAATATTATTGAAATGTCTTGACAACGTAACTAATACATCAAGGAATTCATTAGAGTAGAAAAACATTGCGTAAAACTCCATTTCTTATAGCCCAGAAACAATATTACTGAATTGTCTTGACAACGTAACAAATGTATCGAGAAGTTCCACCCCCTGTCTCTCTAGTGTGTTTTTAATCTGCTTCGAAAACAAAAGTCAGTATTTACGAGTTTATAGATTAGTGATCAATTTCCGTCTATTATTAATACATAGTGTTATTGATACTAAAATATTCAAAATATCCTATTCACAAAATAAGATGTGATCGTTCCATGGGGAATATGGATTGGTTCTGGTTGATTGGTCAGGAAAGTGAGATATTTGTACTTATGTTTCATCAATAAAAACAACTTTCTCAGTTTTAAAATAGTAGCCATTATAGAGCAAATTATAAATATCAAAACATAACCTAAAACATATTCATAATCATTTTCACTGCCACTACAGAGTGATATTAATATTAAAACAGAACCTGAAACATGTAGTTACTCAGAGATCCATGCTATGTGTTCTGGATTGATGTCTGAACATAACAGTACATGAGACTTTGAAAGGCAACATGTTTCAGGTTCTGTTTTAATAATTGGAAACTATCCCAAGTTTGTAAAAACTGCTTAATGCAAGAATTACAGAGGGATATAGAAAAAGTAAAACAGCCTTGAAATTGCAACAATAACAAATCTTTTCACTGTTGTAATAGAGCTCGAGGCTGAACCATACAGAAATATTAAAACAGAACCTGATACATATTAATTGAAATTGCAATAACTAAAAGTTTCTTCAATGGTTGAAGTGGTCAATGCATAAATTACATGGGCCTAGCAAATTTCCTCATTGCACACTGCACGACGTATCCTGTCTTTATTTGTCCAAAAAAGTGGAATTTCATTTTCCTTCTCCCGCGTACTGATGATGACATCATAGTCAAATAGTTTTAGGCTATGATTCACTAAATGGAACGTAACGCAGTTATCGTTTATATGCAAATTGAATGAGAAAAACGTGAGAAGATGAAAGACGATGGGATATATTGGATAAGAAATGGGGCAGTATATAAATTTAGAGATCCCATATCTTTTAACCCGTGTTTAACTTTAAAAAATTCTTTCCTTGACAAAAAAACCGATACCCTCTGCTTCTCAACAATTGATCATGTATTGAGCACTATCTTAACAGTGGTATTTCTATATCGCTCTACAACTGATGTATTGAGTACTATTTTAACAGTGGTGTTTCTAAATCACTCTACAATTGATGTATTGAGTACTATTTTAACAGTAGTATTTCTATATCGCTCTACAATTGATGTATTGAGTACTATCTTAACAGTGGTATTTCTATATCATTCTACAACTGATGTATTGAGTACTATTTTAACAGTAGTATTTCTATATCACTCTACAATTGATGTATTGAGCACTATCTTAACAGTGGTATTTCTATATTACTCTACAACTGATGTATTGAACACTATTTTAACAGTGGTATTTCTATATTACTCTACAACTGATGTATTGAGTACTATTTTAACAGTGGTATTTCTATATCACTCTACAATTGATGTATTGAGCACTATCTTAACAGTGGTATTTCTATATTACTCTACAACTGATGTATTGAACACTATTTTAACAGTAGTATTTCTATATCACTCTACAATTGATATATTGAGCACTATTTTAACAGTGGTATTTCTATATTACTCTACAATTGGTGTATTAAGCACTATTTTACCAGTGATATTTCTATATTGCTCTACAATTGATGTATTGAGCACTATTTTAACAGTGGTATTTATATATCACTCTACAATTGATGTATTGAGCACTATTTTAACAGTGGTATTTCTATATCACACTACAATTGATGTATTGAGTACTATTTTAACAGTGGTATTTCTATATTACTCTACAATTGATCATGTATTGAGCACTATTTTAACAGTAGTATTTCTATATCACTCTACAATTGATGTATTGAGCACTATTTTAACAGTGGTATTTCTATATCGCTCTACAATTGATGTATTGAGTACTATTTTAACAGTGATATTTCTATATCACTCTACAATTGATGTATTGAGTACTATTTTAACAGTGGTATTTCTATAACACTCTACAATTGATGTATTGAGCGAGCACTATTTTAACAGTGGTATTTCTATATCACTCTACAATTGATGTATTGAGCACTATTTTAACAGAGGTATTTCTATATCACCCTACAATTGATGTATTGAGCACTATTTTAACAGTAGTATTTCTATATCACTCTACAATTGATGTATTGAGCACTATTTTAACAGTGGTATTTCAATATCACTCTACAATTGATGTATTGAGTACTATTTTATCAGTGGTATTTCTATATTGCTCTACAATTGATGTATTGAGCACTATTTTAACAGTGATATTTCTATATCACTCTACAATTGATGTATTGAGTACTATTTTAACAGTGATATTCTATATTGCTCTACAATTGATGTATTGAGTACTATTTTAACAGTGATATTCTATATTGCTCTATAATTGATGTATTGAGTACTATTTTAACAGTGATACTTCTATATTTCTCTACAATTGAGAACTATTAAAACAGTGACAATATTTTACTATGTTATATCAAAATATCAAAATATCAAAATATCAAAATAACTTTAATGAATATGACTAACCTTGGTGAGAAAGTACATAAGGAGTGTTTTTACTTTGTCAAGCAATTTACCCAGAACGACTGATTGTGAAAATAGAGCCCCCGCCCCCCCCCCCCCTTCTACACCACAACCTCCCACCCCTCTTTACCTTCCACCCCCTTCAACCCATTATAAATCATTATCATTTTCTTCAAACAGAATGTCAATATGTTATCGTTTTTTATCAAGAATCCAATCAAATATTGATGTTTTAGTTAATTGTCGAGTTTAATTATGATGATGTTTAATTGGTGTATCATGATTTTTAAAACAAATTTAAAGGGCAACAGTCTAGAATTTCAATATACAAAAAATACACTGTATACAATACATCGGAAAGGTTTTGCGTTTAATCTTGACTTGGCAACTCTTGGCAATTGCCCTTCAATTCATTTGATTATTAACGGACTATTGCCAACAGTTGCTAAATTATAAACAAACGGAAAACCTTTCCGATTTAAGATACCTAATCGTTCGATGAGATAACTATTTCGTTACATCATATATTCCGTTGAAATTATAGTATATGCAAAATGTGAAACTTAATTTTTTCGGCACAAGGAAACTCGCTTTTTTCTGGCCGAATCCTGTGGTACGATTTAGAACAACGGACGACCAGGCACTGCACTTGAGTCATACGGACACACATGGATTTGAAGGGCCAAATTTCAAATTTAGACGGTGAGCTGTGAACACTGATTGGATTTTCCCGTTTCTAAGACTAAAGTATGATTGCTAAGAAGTGGCTCACTTGTCCCTTTAACCAAAAATCACAAAAAAAGGAATATCCTTATTGAAGACCTGGCCCCGTATTCTCGAAACGATCTTAGCGCTAGGATGTCCTAGGTTCTTATGTTCTAACACTGATTATAGGACACCCTAGCGCTAAGATACCTAGAGAATACGGGGCCTGAATTGATGTACCTGAAATTTGATATTTATGTATTAAACTAAAAGACCATTAAATTGCTATAAACCTGTCTGTGGCGGAATCGAACAACATTTTGTGGTCCACGATAAAAGTGAATCACCATTGATCTAAACATTTTAGTTCTAATAGTTATCAGATTGCGACGCGATAGCAATAAACCGCCATTAATCTAATATCAGAATGTAGCCAAAAGACTAAGTATAAGTCATTTATGTTAAAGATTTTAAATATACTAATTGCTATGACATGGACGCTGTTAGTTACAAAGAACTGTACTTGGGACAATGGCAATGTCCTGCGTGGTCAGAATGTAGCGGGATTGGCTATGTTTGATATAAGATAACTCTAATATTAAAGATGTATTTTAAATGAACTAATTGCTATGACATGGTCGCTGTTAGTTACAAAGAACTGTACATGGGGTCGATGGTAATGTCCTGTGGTCAGAATGTAGCGGGATTGGCTATGTTTGATATAAGATAACTCTAATATTAAAGATGTATTTTAAATGTACTAATTGCTATGACATGTTCTAATAGTGTAATTACACTGATCACGCTATATGTATTGACAGTATTTTGGTTACCAATACAACTCGTTTTCATAACAATTTCATCTATCAAATTGAAGGCCTATCGTTCGATTTTACCCTTTTCAAACGCAGACGCAGTGCTTGCCAGGCCATAAGCCAGACTTGATTGTTCGAGGGGCAAGTAATATATCCGAAGGAACAATGGTGAATGGTGTTTAGTTGCAGTAGTGGAATTACTCCCCCCATAAATTACTGCATTCATACGTCGCTATCCTAAAGCCAAAAAAGGTCAATTGTGTGTGATTATATTTCGAATCTTCCCCGACCACCCGTCGACAGGCGACAAGCTCTTAATATTATTAAAAAAAGAATTGCGAAATCCGAAAAAAACATCTTCTCTTTTTATTAATTTTATTTCCTGTTTAGATTTGAAACCCACGGGTGTGACAGATTGAGATTGGTATAATTTGAACAAGAACAAAATGTAAATCGCAAAGGTTCAGAGAACTATTTCAATGATTTATAGTAGCATTGTGGCATAGAATATAGAAACCTACAAATTACTATTGCGCAAAACAAATTCTGAATGAAATTTTACTAGTTAACATTGCCGCATCTTTATACAACAGGAAATAATTCCACAGGTAAAAAGAAAGTGTTTAATTTTTATTTTGTAACTCTCAGTTGCTTCACTTATATCTATTAAAATTTGAATGTCTGGGTAATATTTCTCTTAGTGCAGCAGTGAGAGTTATTCATCATCTGACAAACAAATATCAATGCTAAAATAACACGAAAACATGGTTTTCAAGGACATTCTAGATTGAAAAAGATAAGAGCGTACGCGTAAAAAATATTTTACATTTTCAACTTTCTGAATGAAATTACTTTTCTTTTCTTTTTTAATATTTATTTATTTTTTCTTTGTGTTTTTTCCGGTCACCAACAATATTCCTTTAACAAGCTATCGTAAGAATTACAAAATTTTGGTCATTGAAAACTACGATTTATATACATGTCTATGGTAATGCAAATCTAAAGTTTTGTTCCTTATAAAATTTCTAAAAAGATATAGAGAAAAGATCAAGTTAGATAGAATAATAATAACCCACCTTTATATATAAGAATAAACACAGGTAATATCAGATTTAGTATAGAATATTTCCTCATAGTATCACCTGTATCCGAGTTGTCCTGTTTCCCACTACACCAATACCTGTTTCTACCGTCTACTATCTACCTACACAGTCCGTTTACTTCGGTTCATTAACCATCAACCAGGACGAACTCAGACCTGCGCAGTACGACAGGTGACACGGCAATTAAACAGGGAGATGAAACCATGGGCGTTTTATTGTTTATATTATCTAGAATCTAGAATCTAGAATCAAAACAGTGTCTTGGTAAATACGAACAACTTCAGCAGCACGATCGGCACAGAAGAGAGCGTCAAACTCTATTTCAGAAAGGTACAGAAGAGTAGGATCAAAAATGTGCAGCATAAATCTCAATTTCATCAGCCCTATAAAATAGGTAAAGTGAGTGAGATGCCGAAAAGTAAGACAAAAACGATACAGATATGTGGACCTTAAACACCCATGTCATTCCAACAGGTCTCAAGAAAAAATGCTGAAAAGTAGGGGTAATTCATATGTATGGAACCATTTGGGGGGGGTGTTGAAGGATATAGGATATTGCCCACTGGGTCTCTCACGAAGATGATATTAGGTCATCGCCACAGTAACAGGGCTGCTGCAAGATCTATTTGACGCCTGTCGAACTCTGATGATTACAGAGGTCCCATCGACTCATCCCTTTAAAAAAAAACTTGGGTTCCTAACCCTATAAACCATATACCTACAGATGAACAAAAGTTGGTTTCCCATTAACATCAATTTATCTATTAGTTTCAGAAAATGTTACTTGGTTTTGTTTTTTGTTGGGTGGGATGGGTTTTATGAGTATTTTTTTTTTACTTTTTGTTTTTATATGAGTACCTAATATACATTTTTTCTACAAATTACTGAACTTTCTCCTTGGCCGGTACTTTCGTAATTTCAGTTATATATTTAAAAGTGATGAAACTAATATAGTTCAAATTCATTCATTTATTGGGTTCGACTATCCCTGTGTGGGGGGAGGGGTGGTGTGATTAGAAAAGTTCAGAAAACCTCTTTACAATGAAGAGCTGTTCATATTTGCTGTGGTCTGAGCAATGGAATCGGTGTTTCTGAGTTATCTCCCCCTGTCACGAACAGGAAGTCAATAATGCGCATGACCAAATAGTTGACAAGAATGCTGAAATTTTGTAAACAAATCAACTCTTAGAACTCAAAATGTCTTTTCGCGATTTAAGAAGTAAGTATTTAAATAATTTTATTTTTTCAAAGAAAAATACAGCAGCCTCAGATCAATATTACATGTATATGTAAAGAAGAAGCCAAAGGAAAAAGCCATCAGTGGCCACAGTGAGGGGTTTTATTATTGACTTGGCTTGGCTAACAACCGGTAAACTGTCGCATCCCTGCCTAATCTTCTCCCCGTCCCTATACAGCCCTTATAATGTGTGCCAGTATAACTTGGGGCATTGTGTGTTTCTGTGTTATTTATGCTGATATGCCTTAACTTTAAGAGAATTATCAAGAAACCCAGATAGTTTCCCAGCAAGAGCATGCTCAATTGACTTATCAATTGGTTACCTACCTTAAATCAAGTCTTAAAAGACCAATAGACTAATAAATGTTTTATTTTATGTTTCAGATTTTACAGAAATGATGAGAGCCTTGGGTTACCATCGGTTGATATCCATGGAAAATTTCAGAACACCTAATTTTCCTCTGGTAGCAGAAGTTCTTACATGGCTGGTGAAAAGGTGGGAAATAAATACACTTGTAAAGTGTTTAATCATTTTGATTCAAACATGGCTTTTGTTCTTTTGTTTCATAAATTTGCGATAAATGAGTAGCTTGACTTGACGTCATCAAACACTTTTTTTTGTGGAATTGCAGAAACGACAGACGCCTGACTGAAAAATGTAATCCTGCAAATTCATGCTATCAGTGTTGCTGATTCACATACAAAATTGAGAAAACCTCTTTACAAACCTCCTTTTAAACATATTTTTAATTCTTTGTTATAGGTTTGAACCAAATGCTGACGTCCACCCTGATATAGATACAGAACAAGACAGAGTTATTTTTATTAAAACAGTGGCTGAATTCATGGTATGTGACACTTTGGCAAACTTGTTAGGTCACCTTGGTGGCTAGAAAACTCCAAATCTTTTGAAATCTTTGAAGTCCAGCACTTATAGAAGTAGACCTAGTGTTGGTTTTTCACCCCTATCATCTACCAAACAATTTAAACAGACAGTTATGATTGCACGATTTTATATAAGCATGTTAATTGACTCTTATGCATGGCAAGTTAACATAGAGATGACTGGCTGTAGCAATTTTGGTTAGAGAATTGGAATCTTGACATGACATCATTGCTTGGTGGTCATTGATTCTATTTTCGTAGGTAGGCCGTATGGTTTTACTGCTAGAATTTATTCAATGATAAAATATATTAAAACTAAAACAGAACTTTTCAAACAAGATTTGAACTTGTTTATCTGTATTTCAGGCAACTAAAGCTCATATTAAGCTGAATACGAAGAAGTTATACCAATCAGATGGATATGCAGTAAAAGAATTATTAAAAGTTACTAGTGTATTATATAGTGCTGTTAAAACTAATGTAGAAAAAGCTCTGGAAGATGCTGACGATGATACATCTAATGTTTCTTTTGATGTCTCTTCTAGGGTGAGATTGTGGATTTGATATATATTTTACGGGTTGTTTTTATTCATGCTTTAATTTGCATTGTTAACTTAAAGTATAGTTATTTTAACTTCACTTCAATATCTCTTTAAATTTGTACAAAGAATCTGAAAAATTTGAGATTGTTCTGAGTTGCGTGACATTGCTCTGTGAATGGGGCGTCTAAATTCCAATCAAAGATTTCATATAGATTCAGCATCCCCTGAAGAGTTTATTAATACTTCTGTGGTATTTGAGTTTTGAAACTTGGCATCCCTTTCAAAGAGTTCACATAGCTTAGCAACAATGCCCAGTTTGTATTATGGTTTCTCAACTCGACATCCTTTTAGAGAGTCCACTATGCTAATAATCTTGATATTTTTGTTATTTTAGATAAATGATTTAAAAGAAGCCCGAATGTTGGCGTCCTCTATAACAACTAAAGGAGCAGCTTTATATGATTTATTAGGCAAGGAGGTCGACCTCAGGGTTAGTATTTATATTTTATTTTTTAAGTTAATGTGTAATTACTGTGTAAACCTCAATGCTTCCATCCAAATCTGACTGGGACCATGTGTCTTTTGTGAAAAAGCATAGAGTGTTTTTTGGATTGTCAGAGGAATATTAATGTATATCTATTAGTATTTTATATTATTCATAGGAAATGAGAGTAAATGTTGTAGCCAGGCCATTAGAGATCAATGAAGTAGAAAGTGGATTAAAAGGTTCTATAAAGGCAGTAGAGGTAAGAAATTATGATGATTTTTGTAAGTAATTATAGAGACAGAGTTGTAAGTAATTATAGAGACAGAGTTGTAAGTAATTATAGAGACAGAGTTGTAAGTAATTATAGAGACAGAGTTGTAAATAATTATAGAGACAGTTATGATATAATGATGAAAGATCTGTTTTGTCACTTTGACAGCCCTCTAATGGAGTCCATATAACTATAGTCGGGCAAGGCTCCGATTCTAAACATAAATAGTGTAAGAACTCATCAATTTACAGTTTCTATTACTATTAATTCTACCTTGAAATCAAATGGCCTTGGTCTTCTTTGTGTTTTGAATTTTTTCCTGGATATGCATAGATATCTTTACTCATTATAATAATGATAATTTTCCTCATATTGGAAAAACACTTCAAGGTAATATTATTAATTAGGTATATTGATAATATTACAGGCTGATATCAAGAAAACACTGACTATGTTAGATAATGTAGCATCAGATGAGGCGAATTTAGAAGCTAAAATAGAAAAACGTAAAAATGAAATGGAGAGAAACCAGAAGAGATTGATGACTTTACAGAGTGTCAGGTAGTCAACAGATATTTGTCCTTGTTAATGAGACATATCGACATAATCTTAGATAAAGCATGATGTATGGATAAACTATTTCTGAATTTAATTTTTGAGTTAATAAATGTCCGAAATACCAGAATATATTGTATGCTTTTTTAAGTTTATGATTATTTTCACCAATTTTGTTTTTACAATATGTTGTTTTAATCCTGTTTTATATGCACATATTTGCTCCTAGTGGACATTGAAACCAATTTGAGCAATACAATATAACTCAGGATTATAAAGCCAGGAAAAAAAATTGTTAATAGAATAAGATGTAATTAAAGGGAAGTAACTCATGATTATATTCCCCTCTTTGATATTATCTCCCTTTGACAACAGAGTTACTCCTTGCTTTCCTAGGTGTGAATAATACTGTATATAATGAGATATTGTACTGTTATCTATTTTAGACCAGCCTATATGGATGAGTATGAAAGGTTTGAAGAAGATTTACAGAAGTTATATTCTCAATATTTAATTAAGTTCCGTAATTTAACCTATCTTGAACAACAGTTGGAGGAACAACAGAAGGCTGAACAAGATAAACTAGAGGTAGGGTTTGCTTCAATAGGGTAGTGGTAGGTATTATTGGGGGGTTAAAGTCAACACTGGGATGACTTTCAGACACACTGGCACAGGCATCAGAATTTTTTTTCTTACCCCTGAGCTATTCCACTGCCACAAAACAAGATAAAAGGTTCTTAGGTCATCAGAGTTCCCTACTTTGTGTGTCAGGGAGTAAGTATATTGATCCTTCTTGAATGTTTTGAAAGATTTACCCTGAAACTGAATGTATGAGAGTCATGTAAATGAAATTTGCTGCAATTTTTCCTGCTTTTTTCTGAATTTTTATGTATTTTTATTTCAATAATCAGGAAACTGATGCTGCCCTGAAAGTAATGGCTGAAAGATTAAAGAATGAAGAGAGAAAACAACATCAGATCACCCCAGATGATGATGACGATGATGATGATGATAAAAATGTTTTTGGTAAGAAACTATTTTTTTCAAGATCGACATAGTCCTCTAAAATTTGCTAAACCAACTGATAGCTCAAATTTAGCTCTTCCTATAACTTGTGACTTGTATGCTGCAATACTGACACTAATACTATCTCCTTGACTGTGATATAACAACTTTCAAACTGTGTAATGGTCAATATTTTCCCTATAACGCTGGGTTTGAACACTATCTTTTGTGGCGGTGGGATAGCTCAGTCAATAGCAATGTGTATGTCGAACCTAGCTTTTAGATGCCATGGTGGATTGAATCCTCCTGAAGCTAAGATAAATTTTGATGCCACTGCCAGTGCTTTTGAGAGGCAGTCAGGTGATGTCTTTCATCTCCCATAAATGACTCAAAATAAAGAGTATGAATATCTCTGGTCATCTAACATCATGTGTGGATGTGTTTTTTAGGACCTGACGATGATGACAGCGGAGAAGATGAGGCTGTAGGTAGACGAGAACGTCCAGTGAATCACAGAGTAAGACCTGAAGGTAAGAGACTAATAGTTTCTAATAGTTTACTATTACCACTACCCCTTGCAGCTATGGACCTTGGACTCTTCAACCACATGATAGAAAAGGTCCAGTGGAGGAATATTGATACAGTAGAATTTTTAAAAGCCAATTGTGTTTGCTTAGTTTCCAGGCAGTATCTCAGTTCATACAATGTTTAGTTTGAATTTTGTTTAGTGTTGGTGTAACAAACAGTAGTATATGATATATATTATGATTATATTATAGCTGCCGGTGGACAGAGAGGAATGACTGGAGGTCGTGTTGCTGGCTCTATGAACCCTGATCTCAGTGAGGTTAGTTAAATACACATTATCCCACATCTGGTCAGCAGGGAATTTATGACAATTATAACAATTGGAAACAACAGACTAGTCTTGTGTTTAAATGTTTTTAAGGAGAAATAGTCATCTCAATATTTACCTTACCAGCTGATAGAACACAATTTCTGCTATCTATATAATTGTCTAAATATTTACTTTACCAGCTGATAGAGCTCAATTTCAGCTATCTATATAGTTGTCTAAATATTTATTGTACCAGCTGATAGAGCTCTATTTCAGCTATCTGTATAGTCATCTAAATATTTACTTTACCAGCTGATAGAGCTCAATTCAGCTACCTGTATAGCCATCTAAATATTCACTTTACCAGCTGATAGAGCATAATTCAGCTACCTGTATAGCCATCTAAATATTTACTATACCAGCTAATAGAGCTCAATTTAAGCTATCTGTATAGCCATCTAAATATTTACTTTACCAGCTAATAGAGCTCAATTTAAGCTATCTATATAGTCATCTAAATATTTACTTTACCAGCTAATAGAGCTCAATTTAAGCTATCTGTATAGCCATCTAAATATTTACTTTACCAGCTAATAGAGCTCAATTTAAGCTATCTGTATAGCCATCTAAATATTTACTTTACCAGCTAATAGAGCTCAATTTAAGCTATCTATATAGTCATCTAAATATTTACTTTACCAGCTAATAGAGCTCAATTTCTGCTATCTGTATGGTCATCTAAATATTTACTTTACCAGCTAATACAGCTCAATTTCAGCTATCTGTATAGCCATCTAAATATTTACTTTACCAGTAAATAGAGCTCAATTTCAGCTATTTTTAGCACTCTTCAGAATGGTCTGTCTGCCCAGGAGCTCAAAGCTAATAGGTTTAGGAGTAACCTAACAGATAATCCTGTCTACTAGCATACATAATGAACATTGGATAAAGTAATACATTATATTTTCCAGGATTCTGATGGTTCTGATGGATCGGACATTGATCTAGATGATGATGATGTTGATGACGATGATGATGATGATGATGACGATGATGAAATGTTGAATATGAACCAAGTACAGAGAGGTCGCGGTCCCCCACCTAGAAATACTGACTTAGGAGACAGTGATAATGATTTTTGATATGTACATGTTTAAAAAGGAGGGTGGGGTCAGGCATTCTTGGTTGATTTAATTCAGGACATGAAACTAAAATAGAAAACATTTAATCCTTGTAAGATATTTAGAAGTATCACAGCACATTAAGAAATAACAGTTTTATGGATATCATCTTCTCTTTATTATTTGAACATTATTTTACCAATCATGTGGCTGCCCTCTCCTTAATTATCCCATCGCTGGAAGGGGAAGCCGCGTGATTGGTTAAAACAGAGGTCAAGCAAAGGTTAACAGAATGAAAAACTGTATCTAACTTTACATTCCACCATATTTCATAAAGAATCAAAATCACATATCAAAGTCTAGATTTCAAAAAGCCTACTTATGGCACCCTCAAACTGGAATGAACTCTTCTGCTCATGCATACTTTCCATCAATATTATATCATGTAAGCCTGATTGGAAGAGTTTATTTGTCAAATTAGGGGTTGTGTTTGAAATAGAAGAAATCCAAGCCAATTTATTTATTTCTATTTTTATGTCTGATTTATGTTTATTATTGTATATCTGTGATAGTCATTAAAAATATTCACATAAACTATGTCATATTCTGTTTTAGTCACCCTGGATGTATTGAGTATTCCTTAATAAATCATATATAAGTTCTGAATCATGCTTCTGATATTTTAAGGCCTTGTCTCTCAAAATACTTGCCATTGAATTTTTTTTTTAAATTTATATGGAAAAAAATTGATTGTTAATTTTTTTTAAGAAATAGGGCCCAGATTTGACCAGTTTAGTTTACTTCTGTGTGTCGTGAAACTTATAGTTTAGCTGTTAAACATATGTCCACAATTTTTTGATATCAAAGCCTCAAAATAATCCAAACTAGTATTTTGCCTATTCTCTTTGACTTGGCAGCAATGGATTTTTTTTTCAAATTTGGGGTATGCATACACATGGATACAAGGGCCAATATTCAATACAATCACAGGAAATGTTCCCTAATCTTACAGCTTAACTCAATCCAACCAAACTTCTTGATAGACTTCTCAGACTCTGATTTTTCCAATCCGTTTTTAGAATGAGTAAGGATGTTGATTAAAAGCTCAAAATTGTAGATCTAATAAGGTTTGAAGAAATTCAACCATGCAGTGATATGTTGTGCATTGGAGGGGATTCGAACCCAAGACACTGAGTAGACACCCGAACACCTGAACCAATCAAAGGGCTGGGGATATCCTTGTATAACAGTATTCTATAAATAGTAATAGTATGGAATGTAACAAGTATTTCTATTGGATGATAGATGGTGGCATCAGTAAGAAACAATTTGATTGGATGATGAAATTATATAAATATTAGGAAACTACCTCATTGAAGTCCATTTACTCTGTGTTCGCAGAGCTTACAACTTCATCGGATGAAATAAGCTAGTAAGTATCTAGATAGTGGACTAGATTTCAGTAAATAAGATTTGACAGGCCTAGATTACGATAAACAAAACACCCGTGTATATAATTTATCTCAAATGGGTGTAATTTGTGAACACTGCATTCAATCATTCTAAAGAAAAAGGGATTTTTTGTGTTTTGATTTAGAGCGGGAAATAGGCTCTATTTCCTACATGCTTTCTTTCTCTTATTTTCACTTTTACTTTAGCACCGTATCGTCACTTGCACTTTGATTTTAAGCTTGCACATTATTTTACAATCTGTCAGTTCCCTAGCTTTGTAAACTTCTATTGTGAGATGTCACTTTGTTTTCAGCCAAAATTTAATGAAATCTTTGTAGAGTTTAGATCTAGAGCGGTTTGGCTTCCACTTCTAGCTAGGCCTTAATCAGTTAGGCCTAATGTGAAATTATCTTTTGTCTTATGTCCATCTCAATTCAATGCTTTTTTTTGCTATGAGGTAGAGTTTTGGCATGTGTTTTTAGGATCATGAATTGAATGTCTAGATCTATCTCTTTAGTGTGCACTGTCATAAACCTCAATTATAATTAGGCTACTAGGCTAGAGCTGAAAATAATGTGATTGTAGGCCTACAAATCTATAAAAAGTGAACTGACCATTGACTGTCATTGATCATCACTGGCATTAGGCCTATAGGATTAGGCCAAGTTAGATCTACTTTCAAGTATAAAATCACATTATTACAAAAGCTTTTGCCAAGTAGCCTAATTGATGTTTGAGTTTTATGACAGTGCATGATATCCATGGTAACCTAACCTAACCTAGGTGCTTGCTTGTGTACAGGTACAGCGTCCAATATATCTTAAATATCAAATTTAATCTTTTGTATTATCAGTGAATATGAACAAACATTTTGGAAAAAAGTACATCCCTAAGCCTAGCAATTTATAACTTGCTTCTCAGGAATATCAACAAAAAATTGTTATGCTATTGTTTGATATCTGAGACATTTATGGCCTCTATTTGCATCATTCCAATTTTCCAGCAGATGCAAATTGATGCTATCGTGTCCCTTTTACAATCCTAATTTTGGATCCTGTAAAACAAGCACCTGTTATCTTACCCTTTCTCTCTTGCATGCTTATCCTTGTAGCCTACTAACCCTATTCTATCTAGTTTGGTGGAGGAAAGATTTTGTTGTTCTGCTTATGGCTGTAATTTCCTGGTTTTCTAGAAGAATTTTACAGAAATATTTCTTTACAACCAGTAAGAATACAAGGTATTTTGAAATTCGAACGAAACGGCAGTTTTTAAGACGAGAATGTATCATGGTGATTGTTTATGAATATAAGAATGATAATGAACTGTTTGATGTGGTGATGATGTAAAGTGCATGATTTAGGGTGAAGTTTTATAATTTATCAGCACCCTATTAACCCAATGCACTTTATATTGCGCCTTTGCTTTTAATTTTGATTGGCTAGCATGCTTTCAGTTAAAATAGACTTTCAGAGACACAGCTTATAATGTTATTTGATGCCATGGTTTTTGGTTTTAGTTGCTGTATCCTTTCAGAGAGTCCACATAGCTAATATTATTTTGATGTCTAATACCATGACCTAGCTTAAATTTCAGTATCCTTACAGAGAGTCCACATAGCTAAAATTATTATTTGTTCCTCAATACCATAACCCAAGTTTTAAGTTTTAGTTTCCTTATCCTTTTCAGAGAGTCCACACCACTTAGCAAGTTTAAGTTTCAGAGAGTCCACATAGCTAATAATATTATTTAGTCTGTGATACCATGACCCAAGTTTTAAGTTTCAGTTGCAGTATCCTTTCAGAGTGTCCACACAGCTAATATTGTTATTTTAATATTTGATTATGTAGGTACCTAAGCTACAAGATGAGTGGTCTAAACTTACAGAATGATATTAGTAAAGATGATCCAGAGATGTACGACCTCATTCGAGCTGAAAAATCACGACAGCTTCGAGGATTAGAACTGATTGCTTCAGAAAATTTTGCCAGCAAAGCCTGTCTACAAGCTCTTGGGTCATGTTTGAATAATAAATATTCAGAAGGTCAACCAGGTCAAAGGTCAGTAGAGTTAATACATTGTTGACTAACTGGTAGGGCATTATAGGAATTCATTACCAGTAACTTCTGTCCTTTTTCAAGTTAACTTATCTTGTCTTCATTATATCGATCAAGAATGACATGTCAGTTGTAAAACTTTAATTTCGTTTAGAAAAAATATGCTGATAGCCATTTATGTCAATTCTTAACTTTTATTAGTTTACATGCAGTTAGATTAAAGTCCAATCCATATCTAAATGTATTTTATTCAGTTAAGTTGTTGCACATGTTAATGGATCTGTCTAGATTTAAATACAGTGGAAACAGCCAAGATAGTTCACTTAGCTAAACAATATTCAGTTAGGATTTCACACATTATAATGCATATCTAACTGTCCTAGATCTATATAATATATTTACATATAGTTGAAATTGTATTACAATGTTAATATTGTTAGCCAGTTCGATCTAGCTGTTATCTTTCAAGGTTGCAATTATTATCAAGAATTTGAATTTAAAGTAGCAGTTACCTTCATTTAGTGGATATCTTTCAATTTGAATAAACGACAGATTTTTTACAAAAATAGTTGTCACAGGATTTTGATGAAACAAGTAGTATGTGGTTATGTATTTAATTCAGACCTCATTCAAGCTGTATAGATATAATTCTAGGGTTACTGGGTTACTGCCCTTGACTTATCCAAAATATTATGTCATCATTGAGTAATTGATTTGTGAAAGCAGCATACTTTGGTTCCAACCCTGAATAGTTAGAGATGGGACAATAGTTCAAGGCCCTTTGTTTTACCATCTTTACTTTGTCTTTTACCTTGTCCTCAAAGGCCACCCTTTGAATCCAATCAAATCACTGCATTCGGTGATACAAGAATGGTAGCTGTTGCAGTCAAGGTATAAGACACGTTTCCCAAAAGTTTGACATTGTGTAGATGATGTACTTTAGGCACCTGACCAATACTCTTTTTAAGTCCTTGAGCATCTCTGAACCTTGTTGCCTTGTTTGATATTACAGATATTATGGAGGAAATGAAGTGATTGATAAAGTAGAGAGATTGTGTCAGAAGAGAGCTCTTGAAGCGTTCGGTTTGGATCCAGAGAAATGGGGAGTGAACGTCCAGCCTCATTCAGGATCTCCAGCTAATTTTGCTGTGTACACAGCTGTAGTGGAGCCCCACGGTCGTATTATGGGTCTCCATTTACCAGACGGAGGTCATCTTAGTCATGGTTTCATGACTGGAACGAAGAAAGTGTCAGCCACTTCTGTATATTTTGAATCGTTTCCATATAAAACCAGTCCCAAAACTGGTCTGATCGATTATGATGAACTAGAGAAAAATTCACTTCTTTTCTTACCAAAGCTGATTATTGCTGGTAGGTTGCTAATATCTGTCTCTAGGTAGCTCATGTTTGTAAAAACCCTGTTTTTTTTATATCTTATTATGCCATATCACAATATGTATCATATCGTGACCCTTGTATCGCAATACGTATCGTGGCATGATTGACGACACCAAGCACATCATAATACTGCATGGCATTGTAGAAATTTCAAGGAGTAGAGCATTTCATTTGTTTACTCACACAGATATGACTGAGAACATTCTTGCATAACCCTGAAATATTTTCAGGAACAAGCTGTTATTCAAGAAATCTAGACTACAAGAGGTTCCGTCAGATAGCCGATGGTGTGGGAGCGTATGTATTAGCTGATATGGCTCACGTCAGTGGGTTGGTGGCTGCAGGGTTGGTTCCCAGTCCTTTTGAACATTGTGATATTGTTACGTCCACTACTCATAAAACGTTACGAGGTCCCAGATCTGGAATTATCTTTTTCAGAAAGGGTGAGTTCATGTTTGAAATATTACCATCATTGCTTTCTTTCAATGAGAAACAGAGGGTATCCCAGCAAGCTTATTTATTTAGGATTCTGGCCATGTATTCTTGAAACATTCTTAGCTCTAGGATGTCCTTGCTTCTTATCTTAAAACATTGCTTCTAGGATACCCTAGCGCTAAGGTTTGAGAATACGTGGCCTGTGGTTTGATCTCCTGAATACAAGATTATGATACTGACTTCGTTAAGCATACTTTTGAAAGAAAAAGAAATCAAATTCAACAAAAATGGACCTCTCGAAGTCACGCTGTCCACCCTTTTAAGACCAGACTTCGGAGATATTGCATGTAGCTATAACAAATGTCATATCAACAGTATCTGACCATGAGATAGTAAATAACACTCTGAAAGTGAGAAGAGGAAGTGTGTACTGAGTCTTAAAGCTAAAAGTGATATTGAATTTTTGTCTTGTGTAATTCTGTTATACAGGAGTTAGAAGAACTTTGAAGAATGGTACAGAAGAGATGTACGATCTGGAAAAGAAGATAAACGAAGCTGTGTTTCCAGGGTTACAGGGTGGACCACATAACCATCAAATAGCTTGTAAGTTCTCAGTAGTGGTTATCTCCATCACACGTCTTATTTGCTATGTTAAGGGCAGTGACTCGTCATGTCCAGACTGGTCAAAGTTGACATTGAGTTGATGTTATTCATTAGTATCTACAATCTAATTTCGGACCAGTTAAGCAAACTGAGGAGCAGTAACTCGATTGTAATGACCATAAATTCTATATAGTAAATTGATTTGTTTTCCAGCCGTTGCAGTAGCCTTAAAACAAGCATCATTACCAGAATTTATAGAATATCAGAAACAGACTATGGCCAATGCTAAAGCCATGTCTAAAGCCTTAATTGATAGAGGCTACACTGTTGTGACAGGTAATTAATTACGAAATTTCCCTCATTGCACACTTAAGGAGCTTTGCTAACCTGAAGGTATTGGGTTCAATTCCAACATGGGTCAAGATGATACATTCGAATTTTTCAGCCACGGTTTTCCCTGTCAGTGATATAGGTGGGAGGGGCTGACATGGAAAAAAGGTCTTCTTTGGGACAATAAACAGAGGGCCCTGTGTGCTACAGAATGTACATGTTGAAATTCCCTCAACAGTTGAAAATAGAAACAGAGTAGGTTATTGCATTAGTCCTGGGAAAATTTCCCTCCTTGTACACTGCCTTGTTTGTGTCAATTAACCCAATCAGGTGCAGAAAAGCAGGACGCAAAACTCCATTCATTTTATTTCATTGCACATTAATGACTAATGTAATTTGCGTATAATATCGAAGTGCTTTCAATGCACATAAATGTAGAAAATTGACAATACAGGACATATATCTTATAAAATTAAAGACTGTTTTTCCTTTGTTTACTCTATCAAACATCTATTTTATAGGAGGAACTGATACTCATCTGGTCTTAGTTGATATGAGACCCCAGAAATTAGATGGCGCCAGATCAGAGAAAGTATTAGAAGAAGTTGGAATTGCCTGCAACAAGAACACCTGCCCAGGGGATAAGAGTGCCCTGAAACCCAGTGGATTGAGATTGGGAACCCCAGCTTTAACTTCTAGAGATATGAAAGAGAAAGATATCGTTCAAGTAGTTGAATTTTTCCATCAAGGTTGGTTTTTGATAAACATCTAGTAGGAATTGGATTTATGCATTTTGATTTAGACTCAATTATTTTTTTGTCAGTCTCCATTGTAATCTAAGGAAATTTGTACCAAGGTCACATACTGGCGACATATCAAGCTATTAACAGCAGGCAATAACGTGCTACTTTCCTGTCTATCCGAATCACTTTTACAAGTGAGTATCAGCAAATTAAGAATTGAGATTAAGCGTCTTGTGATGCCACTATCACAAAAGCTGCTAATGATGAACATGTACCTTTGCATTAGTGGCGTCATTAAACGCAGAGTTTTAGTGGAATTGCAGGAACCACAGACATCTGATTGAAGATTAGAATGGTCAAATTAATCAGTGCCTGAGATACACATACAAATTTTAGAAGACCTTTTTAAAATCCCTTTTAAGCCACCCTACCGTCAACTAAGGGATTTTATTTTCAAATTAAATTCTATGTAAGTAAAGGTATGATCATTGTTTTTTCAGCTATTGTATTAACTGCTGAGGTAGCTGCTAGTTCAGGGCCAACTCTGAAAGAATTTAAAGCCAAACTGGAAGATCAACAAGTCCGAACCAAAATTGAACAAATCAAGAAGCATGTTGAAGATTTTGCTATGAAATTTCCAATGCCTGGTTTTGACGATTGGTGAAAAGTGAGATTTAAAGAGAATTCTATGACTGAAATCATGTCTTTTAGGGGCCTATACACGTTCAATAAAACCATCAATTTGTTCAGTTAATATCATTGAAGTGTGTGTTTATATTAATTACAAATATTGTCAATAATCATCATAGAGTCGATATATTGACGGATCAAAATCGTTTTGATTTTTATTGACTCATAATGAGTCACTCGTCGACATAGAGCATCAGTGGTATTGAAACATAATATTGACTGTGTGGAGAATCCATTGATATAGTGGGTCAATATTTTTGAATCATGGCATTTTCTGTCTAAAATATTGATGACAATATATTGATGGTTTTATTGAACATTATGGACCCCTATTTGGGTTTTTTTTATATTAACTGCAATATTTTCCAGAAGAAATTTTATTTTGTGCCATTATTTTCATAAATTTACATTGTTCTTAAATCTTGTAATCCTTTGACAAAAGAAGTGCCTTTTCTAATATGCCAGTACTCTTATTTTTTTTAGAGATTTTTGCTTGCATATTCATTGAATTCTTTTATTTCAATTGACCAAAAAAGTGTCTTAATATAGAATTGTTGAACAGAATACTGCCCAATACCTAGTTTTCATAACTTGTGTCACGCTGTGTAATCTATTGCAATAGCAGCCCAACAATCGTAATATTACAGGAGTTAAGCAGACAGCCCTAAAAAAACAAATGTTATATGATGTACTGTCAACTGAGAGCACGACAGGTTTCTCTGGGGTCCATAGATAGAATTTTACAATGGTTATTGTTTTGATTAATTGTTATTTTGTTTGTTGTGTTAATGATGTTAATTCTTAAGTTAAATCCATACTTAGTTAAAGGGACAGATGCGCCATTAACTTTCAAACTCGTATAATTCTGGACGCACATGGATTTGAAGGTTCAAATTTGGACGGTGAGCTGTGAATACTACTACTGATTGGCTGAGGCAAATGGCACATCTGTTCCTAATAGTTAAATTCTTTTATTTGTATTTTAAGGGTAGTAGGTCTCTAATGAAATTGTTAATTTTAATTTCCTGTAATAATCATGTATTTGTTGAAACAATATTAGATATATTATGCTTATCCTCCACAAACAATTCTGATTTGAGGACTGGTATCAGGTGTTTTGTCAGAGTGAAAATGACCTGCCTACTGGAAACACCTGCGACAGTACTTATTCTTGTTGCACTTGAATACTGTCAAAAAAAATCAGTTGGACTCTTAGAGATATAAGCTAATGGGTTGAAAACTTGTTTGAAATTTATTCAGTTTCTGAATCTTAATGCAATGTAAATAAATATGATACCATGTTTTATTTTCTAGCCTTATTTTAATCCACAGTTAAGATAATCATTGACATTTAAGGGACAGATGCCGCATTTTGAGGGGGGAGGGGGGGGATTGATATTAGTCTTGAATGTATTAATTAGTCTACAGAAGTACTAGAAATGTACGAAATTTACATAATTCCTTCAAAAATATCTCAAACTAGGAATTTTACTCACTATTTCTATATATGTCTTTTTCATATATTACAGCGCATCTTAAATTGACAAATTGTCATTTGAACTTTCAAACAGAGATAATTCTGGACACACATGGATTTGAAGGCTCACATTTAGACTGTGAACACTACTACTGATTAGCTGAAAAATTCCAGTTTGTTAGACTAAAGTATGATCATATTGAATCAGAAATGAAACTCATAACACAAATGTAAGGGTAACATCATTAAAATCTGAATTGATTAAGCTATTTAATGATACTTTCAGATAAAGTTTACCCTAAAACATTTCTAAGAAAGGCCATTTTTTCAGTGACATCACATAAACCATTCTTTCATATGACATCACCACCTTTACAATAGATGAAGTAATTTGCGTTTTGAGCACCGCATTCAATATGTTAAAAATGAGGCAGGAATAAAGTATTTGGTTGAACACGATTACAACCTTTACTCCCTAACTAAAGATTTCCTCCAAGAGCAAATGATGTGGTTCTGTAAGCTTACTCTATGAACTTGAAGGCATGTTTTAAGTAAGACCAAATATACTTTAGTTGGCCGGAAAGAACCAAAACCAAATGATGTGGTTCTTTAAGCTTGCTCTATGAAGACAAGTTCCAAGTTAATTTTTCATGAATCCTGTCCAATTTTTGCTGGAGCTCACTATTATTCACAACTATTGTCCTCTCATATCTATCACATCACAAACCCTTGATACAATATATAATACAGGTCCATAGTTAGTTAAAATATTATCAACTGATAGGACACAGTTCACTCTACTTCCACTGTACCACCAGCACTTTCTAGCTCTGACTTCAACTTCTCACTGTCTTCTTTAGATATCTCATCTTGAACTATTTGAGGTAAGGATTCTACGTATTTTTTTGCCTATAAAATAAAGTACGATTTCTTTTTGTGATTTCTCTAAAATATAATATTGACATCTACAGTACTGCTGGCATTAATCTTTTGATCTGATAAAAACCGCCTCACAACTTCATCGAGTTGGGTCAAAAGGTTAATTTGAAGAACGTTCTAGAGGGCTGTTATTAAACTTTAACTGAAGTGACTATTAAAAATAAAAGGTAATAAATAGACCACAGTCTATCATGTGTATTTTCATTGAAAAAAATAGACTTAACAAACCTGGACAAGATTCATATCAGGTAGTAACGCTTTAATTGCCTTGATCAATTGAATCTTTTTACTTTCATCATATTTTGTTAATTTTACAGTAAAAATAGTTTTTTCTCTTTTAACTTCCGTTTCCTCTTCTTCTTCAGCCTTGAACAAAAAATAATCTTAGTTCAACAAATAATACTACAGTTCTATATGTGATACTATATGTTTTACTGGTAGATTACAAGCTGTTATGACAAACGTTCCCTCATTGTCCACTGCATGGTGTTGCAGATTGTCATAAGCCTATTGTGTGCAAATTTTCTTCAAAACGAACTGAGAAAAAACCTAATAGCATCTATATTAAAGACCCGCTGCCATACATAAGTGATGGGAATACATTGATAGCAGATCATGTTTACACTTTTCGAAACACCTGATGGTTCTTCTGTTCTTCCACTACTATAATATTTTTACTCCTGATTTTGCCATTCTTTGGACAAGATTTTTGATTGGCAGAATTGTCTTGCTTGTACAGATTTTTATAATGACATTACCTTTGGTGCTGCTGTAGCCATACCCATTGCCATAACTGGTGCATCTTTTATATTTAAAGATTTCTATAATATAAGAATGATAGTAATTAATTAATTCTCTCAATTGCGGATAAAAACCAAGCATATATTAGAAAATTTGTTAATAATTTCAATAAAAAAAATTTTACCACAACCTGTAAAATCTGACTTTAATTATATAAGCAGAAAATCTATTATACATTGGCATTTACTCATGTTACATTTAAAGCCATAGTACCATATCAACAGCCTGTTATGTATTTATAAGCTTACCCACCTTCAATAATTCATTTAAATCTGCTACTTCCACTAACGTAAGTTTACTGATATCGTCTACTAACTGCACTATTTTAGGTTGATATTGTTTGTTTTCCCCTTCTAAATGAGGCTCTGGTATAGCTGTAGATAACAACCTTGCTGGCTGCCGGTTAATTACTGTTTTTAAAACATGTCTGAAAAATTGAAAGCATTATATGAAGACAGTGTTTGGATTCAAGGGGCCGGTTCGCCATTTTTCAATGTACAAAAATGGAATAATTCCTTCAAAAATAACTCAAACTTAAGAAGTTTTTTTCTTCTATTTCTTATCTTTCTATATGTGGCTAGAGTCTCAAGAACACTGATACTGGTACAATTGGTCAAACAGATTGCTAACTTGTCTCTTTAAACTTGTCTCTTGTTGTGTTCACTAATAGTAACAATATTAACAGGTTAAACCTTAATCTAATGTGACCTTGTCCAAGCCACACCAAGGTGATTTGTTTATATGAAATGGCCAATGAATTAGGTATTTGAATTTAGTTTTTATATTTCACCAGTCAGTCTACCTATTCACAGTCCACCAGCAGTCCATAATGATTGTATGTAGGTGTTACAGTTGACAGTTCATGACAGCCAATCAAACTGCTAACGACCTGAGACAGGCAAACAAATCACTGATGGCCTTCAGAAATGAAATCTCATAATTTTCACTTCTTGCTGATTGATTTAAAGTTTGAGATAAGTGAATATAACTAGGTGTTGACATTAGACTTTAGAGTGAATATGTTGTCCTATGCGTGAAGTGCAAATTTGGTGGGTTTCAACGCATAGTATGTCTTTTAAAATGAATCCTTATGTGACGTTTAGAGGTGGAGATTAGTATTAGTTGAGAAAACGATAAATCTAAAGTAACTGACATATGCACTGTTAGTTAGGTTAGGTTTCCCAAGGTCCAAAGTTAAATAATACTAGTTGCACAGTCTCATCAGGTGTTCCAGAAAATGATAGATTGCATTTTCAGTAATCAGGAAAATTAGGACAAATTATGACACCAGGTTTAGAACCTACAATTTTTAATCAACTTTCTACGGGATTAGTTATATAAAATTACATAATAGGGATTAATCAGATCAAACACCAATCAACTGTTTTCTGTTGACAAGTCAAATGAAATGTATTTTAACTTTTCTCGGAATAAGAATTTAAGACAACACGGTTGATAATGCAAACTCAACAATGAAATATTTATATCTACCAACCTTCTGCAGTAACTGTTAATTCGACTTACAAGTCGTAATGTAGAATGCATCGTGAAAAGTTTCGAAGTTTGACTCAAAACCTTCAAATTTATTAACCGGAAGTCCTCTATCCATGCGGTAGCAAGACAGCAGTGAAATATTCGTCGCACCTGATTGGTCAAAATTATACCGTTCTTATCTTCAACATTGAAGAGCTGTTTCCGGTTAATTTCACGTGCGTTGTTTATCAACATAAACAAACATTATTATCATGCCTAAAGCTCCAAAATTAAATGTATCGGGCAATAAAGCGATACATCCAAACAGCAGAAAGGCAACAGTGTTCCAACGAGACCAAAAACATAAAGCACGCATTGACGGCAGCCGACAAGTCAAATCGTTAAGACAAGATGCATCTTTGGACAAGTTTTTGTGGTTTCAGCAAAATATGGACGAAGAAAAATTAGTATTTAGTAAAAAGGAACTGACAGATTTAGTGTTGAAATACATGGACAGATTTGAGGAAGAAATCGAACAAATTTCCATAGTCAATTCAATAGGGTGCAGAGCCAACTCTAAGAATCAACACGCCTCTAGGTTGGATTCTATAAAATTCACCCAGGATAAAGAAGAAAACGAATTTTCATCCACTGGACTGGAGGTGCCTAACTTAATGAAAAAGGGAAACGTTGAACTGTTTAAAGCCTGGGGAGGCGAAATGAGATATTTTAGTAACATTGTGAAAATTAAGATCAGTAAAAGAGATGCCGAGAAATTTGAACTTGAGAAAAGTGAAAAAGTTATGGAATAATAAATTACAAATTGCGTTTAATTTGTTTCTAAAACATAGTTTCATTTTAGCCTCTATCATGCAGTCTATGTGCATTAAGTTCACATTTCAATTCTTCCTCAACTTCCTCTGAAAACCTTCTATCAAACTCCCAACAGAATCAAATCTATTCAATCAGAATAATGCTAAATCATGTCAAATATTTCTGGCACGAGAAATATATACAAATACAAAGTCTCCAACTGAACACTTGTCGCCATTTTTATTGTCAGTTAATATTTTTTATACCACCAGATTGATATCAAACAAAAAATTCTTTTTATCCATCATAACATTTAAAGAAAGATTGCCACCAATTGGTGGTAATATTTCACCAGAATGCTCGCAGCGCCAATTGTAGGATAATTATAAGGAGGTCATTCTGTAATGTCCTGGCGATTTTATTTCTACGAGATTCCATAAGTCATAACTATCTCCTTTGGCATTTCTGTTTGAAAAAATTAGGCAATGGTTTGAATCGAATTGGTAATTATTGGCAGATGGCAAGTTAATGTCCGCTTCCAGCTAACTGATATCACAGACTAGGTAGTTGTTGGTAGATGACAAGTTAACGCCCGCTTAAGGCTAACTGATATCACAGACTAGGTAGTTGTTGGTAGTTGACAAGTTAACACCTGCTTCCAGCTAACTGGTACCACAGACTAGGTAGTTGTTGGTAGATAACAAGTTAATGTACTACCAGGAATCCACCTCGTGGTGTTACCAAATAGAATATATTCATATCATAGATTTACGCTTTGATAAATCTCATGACTTTTACTAACTGTATATATTATACATGATATGGTAAACAACACTGGTGGAAATGCTTTTTGTCTTTGATATTTTTTATCATTTGAATAAAAGGTTATGCTAAAGTATGTGACTAATGATGTATTTATTTGGTTCCACTAGTGTTGTTATAGAAATACCAATGTTAAATAGTCTTCAATACATCAATTGTAGAGCGATATAGAAACACCAATGTTAAATAGTTTTCAATACATCAATTGTAGAGTAATATAGAAATACCAATGTTAAATAGTTTTCAATACATCAATTGTAGAGTGATATAGAAATACCACTGTTAAAATAGTACTCAATACATCAATTGTAGAGCGATATAGAAATACCAATGTTAAATAGTTTTCAATACATCAATTGTAGAGCGATATAGAAATACCACTGTTGAAATAGTGCCCAATACATCAGTTGTAGAATGATATAGAAATACCACTGTTAAAATAGAGCTCAATACATCAGTTGTAGAGTGACATAGAATTACCACTGATGAAATAGGGCTCAATACATCAATAATAGACAAATATGTGATATCGGTCTGGAGAGACCACAGAAAAATGAATTTCTGGTGAAAAAATTAAGAAATTACAAGATGGTAACAAAATTTATTGAAGTTTACAATAACTAGTGAGTCAATAGTGAAATGATTTCATGATTATTGTTGAGTTATATCACATAAAAACAGTTTATACACATTCTATTATACACAAATAGCACACGTGAAAGCTTTCAACCCAAGTCAAAAATCCCCCGACACAAATAGCACATTGGGTACTCAGTTTAGGTCTTTAATTGTCATCATTTTCTTCAATTTTAGGAGCAAGATAATATCTCAATTGTCCCATGTCACCAATTTTATATTCTACAACTGAAATAAGAAACATACCATAAATAAATGATCATTAAATCTATTGCAGGGCGGCACAAGAGTGTATTTATTCCAATGGCTGAAGAATTAGCTTGTGTGACCACGTAAATATGATATCTGTAGTATTTATTCGTCCAATGGAGACAAATTTTATAATCTCAAGAACTATCTTGCATGACCACTAATGTCAACTATCTTTTATGCCTATGCAAAACCATCTGAGCAGATTATTAACAATATATATGATCGTTTTATCTGAAGGAAATAGTCACTTCAACATGCAGTTCTTTTAGTACTACGACATTGGGAATTGAGCATCCACATTAGATTTGTTTAAATTTCATATTACAAAAAAATGAAATGATGGACTTTATCATTTAACATAGGGGAAAGAACTACCAACATCGCCCCTCTCCCCCTTTTGTGGCCCAGCTGAAACCCATTACCTAATGTTTCCTAATAATGCCAATGGTTGTTATTTAAAAAATTCCACTTACCTAAAGGAACATCTTGAGACATGGAAAGGGTAACTTGAGGTGACAAGGGTGTGGCTTTTGTGAAAAAATTTAAATATCTTAAAGCAAAGGTTAAACAGACTCCTTGGCTCATCTCAACTACGACAGATTCTTCTTCTTTATCAGTGTTAATATTCTGAGCAAGTTTGATGTTGCCTAAAAAATAAACAAATGATATACAGTTAGAAGAACGGTGACACATGACTGGATGGTGGATACTAATGAGTATAGAATTTGGTTCCTAATCACAGATGTGTGAAACTGGAAACCTACGGGTAAGTTTACATAGTTAATATTCCGTTCCCAGTAAAAAAACGTGCAGATATTGGAGTTTCTGGATAATCCTCACCGCAAAACTGCTGCTCCACTGTTTATCAACAAAGTTTGTCATCGACCAAGGGATAGTCATTACTGATTTACCAAATGAAATGAATATGGGGTTTCTAGTCCTCAATTCCCGCTATATTACCATTTGTTATCACTTAATAAATGGAACTTTCCATTACTTCTTTAATAATTCAGGAGTCTGAGTCTGAGCCATGCGATAAAAGTTTGTCGTTAGTATTCAATTTTACCCAGAAATGCCCGACTTTTGAGAAACACTCAAATTTGAAATTCAAAATGAAATTACCTGTTCCCAAATCACCAGTGGCAGTAAATTTGACACCTTCTTTAGTACAGGTGATTACAACAGATTCACCAATTTGACTCAAATCTCGACAGACTCGCTGGAATTCTGCTGATGGCATTTTTACCACACAACTATATTCTGTATCCTAGAATAATAAAGCAGAAAAATTGATAAATTGTCTTAGATTTTTTGTCATATATCAACATTAATCAAAGCTTTCTCAAAACTAGTGAAATTTTCTTGTTAACTAAAGATAAGAAATAAGCATTGAGCAGAAGTCCTAGCTCAAGAAGCCTTCTGAACATGGACATCACAAAGAGATGCTTGCATAGACCAGAGTAAAAGACACAGTTTGCAATAGCTTGACTTAGTGAATATGTACAAGATAAAGAACAAATAACCCGGTATAACAAACTTCTGTCACGCTTCACCACAATTCTGTAAATTGTTTTGCAAAAGGTCATATACTTATGAAAGAAGTGTTATGCCATATCCAATCCCCTTCTGTTTGTTATAAATATGTAGATAAGAAAGTTAATATACTCACAGGAATACCCAAGTGTTCAGCATCCAGATCAATCAATTTCATTTCATAATCTGACATCTTTTCACCCTCTAAATATACAAAATATATTCAAAACTAAAATCTTACAGATACGTAAATGTTTCAAAACAGCTTGACTGATATTTTATTTGTTAAATGTACCATCCAATCTAGTGTAGATACAATATGCATTATCATGTAAGGAATTATAGTTAATTTGCCAAAATATAACCCCCAATAAGGTCAATATATCGTGTCATCACTAATCCAAATGCATTGTAGCCCAAGCCCCATCAATTTGCTTCATTTACCAGAGGAAAAATACTTACGTGGAGATTCAAAAACAAATGTAACTTTATCTCCAGCATCTTCAGCTTTGACTGTGACAATATCATCGTTACCAGCACACCGTAAAATCTTAGACATACTGAAATGAGAATGAAAGAAAATTATAGCAACATTAACTTGGCTTCAGTTTAGATATTTAAGGATCGTTGTCAAATGAAAAACATCTGAATATTACTGTGGGTATTTCTCCAGCTGAAAAGACAGCATTCAGAATATGTCGAACATGGCAAAATAAAAATCAAAAACAGGATCATATTATGGAATATTTTTCAAAAGCCATCACTATTTGAAGTTCTATAATAAAAGATGGTTTGAGCTGTCATCTATTTTAATGTAGTAAGAGCCATTGAACATATATTTTACACAAGGAAATAATTTACCGCCAAATTTGACAGCTCTTTGTTTACCTGGCTGTGGCCATTCCGAGGGAAATATTTCGGTCACATCTGTACGTTTCAAAACCATCGCTTCTCATTTTCAGGGAAACTAAACTGACGTGGGAACTGTCCATGGCTTGCAGTGTGATTCCATTTGTACTGCAGTCCCATAACGCTTCGTTCAACAAATCTTTGGTGGCTTCTAAAATCTTCTTGAGAAGAGAACCTTGCACAAGTCGAGCTTCAAACATGGTGAAATCGTGAAATTAAAAATCAATAACAAAGGTATAAACAGTAAAAATGGTGCTTTGATCGTAGATGTTTGATGATCTCAAGGTTCCCAATCAATGTCCGATGTTCTTGGATTAATTCACACAGACAACCGATTCGCAGTCCTCCTTCCCTGAGCTGATTTTGTCACTGACTCCCGCCAATTTTTTCACAACCGCGGGAAATAGTGATGAACAAGCAGCCAGATTGGTTCATTTATAAACTTCCGGATCACCGGTCATGCGTGAAGGCGAGATATTTCGAGATTAGTCAACCAGACGATAAAACTTACAATTTGATTGGTTTCTATTTTGATTATCCAATGAAATCACAGGTAAAGCAAACTATTTTGATCGTTTAAAGTCATTCATGCATATCTAATTAAAGATGGCCACCTTTTCCTGTCAACAATGTTGAAATAAGCAATGTTCTGCTGTTTGTAGAGATTTTACTTGAAAATGTCCATCTTATGATTGCAAATGTTAGTTTTTAAGTTTATGAACCTATTTCGTTTTCATTTATCATCCACTTTGGGCCATGGAGAGGAAGAAATGATGATGATCTTGCAGTCAAAAGTAAACAAACTGAACAAGTGTGCTGAAGTCTGAACTTGCAGACGACAGCGCTTATTAGATTTGCCGGGAATATTATCATCTGTTTCAGTTTCAGATCGTTAGCTCTGTCAATTTTATTAATATTTACATAGTTCATGATTCATAGACCCATGCCCATAGAAAGACAGCGTCTAGAGAAAACAGCTAACTCTAAACTTTGTTGATACAAAAAATCAATCGTCAATGTCATTGCTTGGCTTTTGTCTGATTATTTTGTGTCCATTAAAAAACAAATTTTCTTCCCATTCTTTTAACATTGGAGCTCATTTGTAGCTGGCATAGTACCTCCTGTCATTTAAGCATTTGATTTGTCTGCTATGGCTGTACTGGATATGCTTGCCCTTTTTTGAACAGGATTCCATTGAGAGATCCCTAAGATATAGAGGATTTTTGACTGAATCAATATTTGTTAATGTTTTAATTATACATTTACATAGATAGACAATAGTTTCAGAAACAAGCCAAAAGTAATTGCGGTACCATGCTTATTTATTTACTTTTTTGGGTTTTTTTTTTTTCAGAGAAAATAGTGAAAAAATGTTTCATTGTGTTAAAAGTGGAGGTGTACTGAGTGTTAGAGAAGGTGTTAGACGATATTCCTCAAGTGTGTACAGAAACTATAGAACTCTGTCCGGAGCACCTAATGGAAGCTATCAAAATAGTGAAAAGCTGAACCGAAATCAAATCCTCAACACAAATCCTGGCCAGAAACATGACTTTTTACAAGTGACAAATGTCCACACCTCGCCAGCAAATTTCACCAAGTTCAAAACTAGGTTTACAAACTATTCCAATTTTGGGTACGGAAACGACAAGTCTAATAGAAATGGAACCATAATTAGAGTTGTAGGTCTTGGTGGGATGTTGTTTTTATTAGGAAATGGGTAAGAATGATTATTTGTTTTTTTTTTATGCTGAAACGGACTTGTATTGCACCAGTCTGTGGTTCCTGCAATTCCACTAAAACTAAGTGTTTGATGACGTCACTAATGGCGAAAAACCATGTGTATCAAACATTTTGTTTTACTGGAATTGCAGGAATAATCAGGGGCCTTATTCTTGAAAATTTGACTTAAGGTGATTTTAGTGTTCCAGTCATCTGATTGGTCGAAAACTAAAATCAATTATAAGTTAAGTTTTATTATCCAATCAGATTACTGTATTTCTTAAAATCTGGATTTAAGATTACTTCAGTTTTCAAAAATAAGGCCCCAGGGCGCCTGATTGAAAAATGACATGATGCAAACTGATCAGTGTCTGTTATACATATTAAAATTTTAGAAAATATCTTGACCATCCCTTCAATACTGTATGTTTTGAAATTGTAGAGTGAAATCTGTGATTGATTATCTAAATGGTGAGAATCTAAAAGCTGCCAGTAAATCTCAAGAAGAGGTGGAATCTGAAGATCAACTTTCCGTCGATAAAACAGAAGAGGAGGGAGAGAAGAAGAAAAAGAGAAAATTGACTTTTAGAGATAGAAAGGTAGGATTGAATTGAAATTTCTTGTCAGTCTCAGTTCTCTGTGGGGAGTTGGATTGGGTTAGCCTGACAATGCTGGCCCCACCAGTTCCTGTGATGTGAGTTCTCTGTGGGAAGTGGGTTGGGTTCCCCGGACAACTCTGGCCCTACCCACTCACAGAATTGTAGGTTTAATGTAAAGTATACCTCCATTTCATTTCATTAGTCCAATAGGATACAGGAAACTAGGATATAAAACTCTATTTCATTACATTAGCCAAATAAGATACAGAACAGTAGGATATAAAACTCTAATTTCATTTCATTAGCCCACCCAGGGGCAAATTAGTAGGATGTAAAACTCCATTTCATTTCATTAGGTCACTGATGGACAAAACAGTAGGATGTAAAACTCTATTTCATTTTAATTTATATAGATAATTGAATATGAGAATAGAATCCGTCAATACTCTACACCAGACAAGATATTTCGTTACTTTGCTACGTTGAAAGTAAAATATGATGGTGATTCGGAGGTGTTTATGACACCCCAGGATTTTGTCAGATCCTTGACCCCAGGGATCAAACAACCTGATGGTAAGTTTATTTCAATATCCTGATTGGCCATGTGGCTGGTTTTGCTACATAGATTTGTTGAGAGCATCTTTACAATGTCAAGCTATTTTGAACTTTCTCATATATCTTGGCCCTTGACTGCAATTTCTTTTTCTTGTTTGGATGGTTCATTGGCGATGACAGTCAATCAATTGTTGAGTTCTCAACAAGGCCCGAAAAAAAAATAGGTCATAATGTTTACAGTCTGTTGATGGCTTCAAGTGGCTGTGTTCGCGTACAATCAAATCAAATCGCTAGATTCTGGATACAAGAAAAGATGGTGGAGGGGTGTGAAATTGTTACTTTTCATTTTCATTTGATCTTACTTTTGTTCTGAATAAGATGAATGAAACACATAGATAATATTCTTAGTAAGTGTTATGAACAAAAGTTTGGTGGTAGATGATAAGTTTATGTACTCTTTCAACAGAGGCTGATATCACAGACAAAGACAACAATGATGTCTATCCCCTCTAATATTTCCCACCTTTTATAATTGTAGGATTAGGGTTGGACCAGTTTAAGAAGTTTGACCCCCAGGTAAGTGAGAAGAACAATAGAGTAAAGATTATGTAGAGTAGATAAAGGTTAGAGATAGTTGGTGGATGGGTGTTAATTAATTAACGTAATTCTTTAATCCATTCATTCACCTTGTTCATTGTTGTCTCACACGCTCACCTGGGGCCTGGGCTCTGTTTCACCAAATTGTAACTAAGATAAAATCCAGATTTAAAGAAGTACAGCATTTGATTGGTTTAATTATATTTATTAAGATAGATATCCAGATTCTAAGAAATACAAATTTTGATTGGTGGATGAATTAGAAATCAACCAATCAGATGACTCGAACAGTAAAAATCGACTTATTTTAGGATCTGGCCCTTGTTGGCTTAATTTAACTAATTTTTATAATGGAAAAATAAACCTAAGCAGAAAATATCAAAGAAAAAATGAAATATCATATCATATACCATTTATACAGGGAATCTGTTGTTTATTCATGACCCCAGACTTTGAATTTAATGTTCATTCTAAAAGGTAGTGTTAGGGTGTATTGAGACGAGTCTCAATGAAAGCGCTGGCCTAGGTCACAGTAGTATTACCTTAAGACAGTTTTTTTTTCTGAAACTACATCGATATGGGGAATGCATCTTTACAATGGCCAAGGTATCACGTCTTTATCTTATTCCTTAACTGCAATGTCCCACTTTCTTGTTTCACTGTCAGCAATTAGATTGGATCGTTTGCCAGAGAATACAGCCAATCAGAGCCCTCGATTTCATGCCTAATTATTTTATACTGTCCTGCCGAGAGATCAGATTGGCTGTATTCGCTAGCGTACAATCCAATCAAATTGCTGCATTCACAATAATCCTTGAAACAAGAAAGTGGGCGATTATAGTCTAGATATAAGATGAAGAGTAAAGAAGACATAATACCTTGACCATTGTGAAGAATGGTGGCATGGTGCTAACAACTACTGTCTTTTCTCTCTGTTGAAATATCAGCTTCAAAGCAGTAATTGTATTCTTCAGTTTAGGTCAAAAGGATATTTGAATGAATGTTCAAGAGGGCCTTCATTAGTAATAAAAATGTAACAAAATTTTGGTAAGAATTCGTGGAATAATTTTGCGATGGTAGGAATGAAATCATTGGAATATTATTATTGAGAACTTAAGCAATATTCAGCCAAACTTTGAAACATTTTTGGTTGAAATTGCTGGGTGGAAAATAATTTTAATATTTTATCAACAAAAAGTAATTTACAGAATTTTAACAAATCATAAATGTCCATGTATGTAATGTCTGGATAAACAAAAAAAGACTTTTTGACCTTTCTGATCGGTCACTCTTTGGAATTCTGCAGGTAATTCTCTTCTAAATTAGCTAATTATGAATTAATTATGGACATGTGAGACAAACTGGTATTTTTCCACGTCATTAGAACACCTCTACTTTCTATTCATAAAAATGAAAATAAGGGAACCCATCTTTAAAGAAGACTTTTATTAGTACTGTTTTGAAGCTAATATTCAAATTCTATAAAAATTGAAAAGTAAAATCTGATTTATGGATATGATTGTGAAGACAGAAGCTGATGACTGTTTAGGGCTCATGATGGGTCTTTTGAATGAATGAATGAATGATTGAATGGTTTCCAGATTTTTTGAAAAAAGACTAAAGTTCTTAAAATCCTAAGATAATTTGCAGCATGGGTTTTTAGGCTTTCCATTCCAATTATTAAAATCTACTGTTATGATACTGAGTTTGAACCCCTGTCTTGCGGTTAAAGGCATGACTTTTATAATAGCATGTGTGCTTTATCTTTTTTCCTAAAAATGGTCAAACAGGATGCTACACCAGTCTGGGTGAGTCGCTTTTCCAATGCTCATTCGCTTATCTGTTTTTTCAACTTTTATCAATCTGATTCAAAACTCTAGATATTGTCTTTTGTTTATTCTGTGAGTTACTTCACTTATTCTCAATCAAAGAATGTTTGTTGAATATTTTTTAGCGGGTTACTTTTCATGCTCTTAATCTTAAGACATTTATAAGAAAATTGTGTTCACAGACCCAAGCATTAAAGTGTTTTTTAGTCTTACTTCACTCATTTTTTGATCTAAGATCTATATAAAAAAGGACATTTATTTCAAGTGGGATACTTCTTTTGCTAATGATCTTAAGACATTTATAAGAAAAATGTGTTCACATTTTAAGCATTTAGTAGACGAGAAAAACTATCACATAGGAAGAAATCATAATTGTATAGTGAGCTGATTCTTAAGTGTGGTTTTGAATGGCTATCTCAACTATGACAAGTTAATATCCAATTCCAGTAAACTGATATCACAGACTAGGATCATTTCACGAAGGACCTTGTCCGATCTTGAGAAGTAACCCTCAGAAACAAAATGAAACGAAATATCTGGAGTTGAGTTTTTATCAGATTGAACTTTTATACATTTTCCATTTTCTTCATGGTTTTCCTTGCTTTAAAATACATTTCTTTTACCCAATTTTAATGACCTTTTTATATGCATGCTTTTCAAATTTATTTCGTGTTTCTATAAAGTTTCAAATTTACAATTTTTGTGTATTTTCCCCTTATTTATATTACTAATTCTAAATTCAAATCCAGCTATCTATACACAAACCTAATTCCTAACAAGAAACAATGCCGTTTCTTGCCTTTACAAAGGTGTTTTTTTAACATGTATATCAGAAACCTAGACATGTCACATGAACTGTAATTTTTGTTTTATGAGAAATTGTGACTGTGTCAATATTGATGCGTCAAAAGCTATTTTTGTTTAGTGATAAAGTTAAAATAACAGAAAATAATAAGGTAACCGATAGGAAGACAAAGTATTTTTCTGTTTTTTTTTCTGTTAGGCAAAGAATTCATTGAATTTAGGTGGAGTAGTCCACCTTTCACTGTTCGTCAAGCATTTCCTGTCAGGGCTACCATATTTGTCTATGAAAAGTAACTGAACTTTCACCAATTTTTCAGGGTAACACAGACAACTCTTTCCCGATGTAAAATGATACAAAATTTGAAAGTTGGGGGGCCTCACGTAAAAACTCCACTGACTTTGAAAAATTGTTTTGATTTGATTAAAAACAAATTTGATTGAGCATGTATTTACAGTCATATCTGACCAGTGGTCTATATTGTTTATCAGTGATATTTGACCAAAGCTGTTGACTGTTTTTTTCTAGAATATTTTTATTATATTTGCCAGTCATGCCTGAATGAGCTTTTATTTGACTGTATATACTGTGTGGTATGATATTTGAATTAGAGACATAGATATTTAGTAATTTAGTATTTTATCCTTGTAACAGGATAGTGCAGGCCTTCCTGAATTAGTTTATTTTGAGGTATGGTAAATGATTAATTCCCAATGTCAAGTTATTATGAACTATGTCTAATACCTTGATTGCAATAGCCACCTTTCTTGTATGCAGCGATTTGAATACAGCCAATCAGAGGCCTCAAGAGAAAACAATTTGAAAGTGTGTGCAATCCAGGGCTATGATTGGCTGTAGTCAGCAGCATACAATCCAATCAAATTAATGCATTTTCACACTTTCATGATACAAGAATAGTGACTATTGAAGTCAAGGTATAAGGTACAGTTTGTTATAGCTTGACATTGTTAAGATGATGATTAGTTTGATCATATCATTTCCTCCCAGTGATGTTAATCCCTGCGTTTGTTGAATAATCCATTTTAAAACTAACATGTGTCACCAAACCAGTGAATTAAACTCTTCCCTCAAAATCTCACCAATTTAATGTTAAATAACCTTTGTATGTTTTTATGGTCCCATTTACAACATCTTAACATCATTTTCTAACAAATGAGAGCTGACAGTATGGGTGATTTCATACTGTATATATTAGGGTTGTTGATTTTGCCATATTTGCCGGACATGTCCGCTTGTCTGTCAAAAATGCTATTGACCAAAACTTATCTGATTTTGTTACCAATTTGCATGTAGTTTGTGGTCCACAATCTAAATCATAGTTTGGTGCTGGACTGTAAAATAAAAGAACCGAATGCCAGAGGTCTGAGTCTTGACGTGGTTCCGAATGTCAAGTATGTTTAATCCCCAATGTATCCCAGTCATGAATTTGAGTCCGAAACCGTTGTTCATTAATTGCATGTAGTTAATTTTTGACTGACTATTTCTTTTTTCTTGTATTTGTCATTTACTAAACTTTTTATATTGTTCAATTATCTTAAAATACTTCAATTATTATTCTAAATTCCAAGTTTCAATCTATCTATCCCTTGGACTACTAATTTCTGTAAACATTGTAAAAGTATTCTTGATTCTTCTATGAACGTCACAGACAAGTCGGTTGATATAATAATATTTTGTTGTCAGTAGGACATTTTTTTTATGACCGGTTAAATCTGATGTTAATTTTCCCATGAAAGAAGGTCTATCATATATACCATATTGACATTATGTTTGGCATATTAGAGGTCAACTCAGTGATGAAGGAAAACTGCTGGTAGAAAGACACAGTTGACTCAACACTTTGTGACTCACAGAAAAAGTCTCATTTCTTGCTGCTTATCTTTTTACCTTGTTTATTTATTTATATGCTGCTACAGTGTGTGCTACAAATAGACTAGAGGCTATCTATTGATATATTATTACCATATTGTAGTAGAATTAGCTGGCAAACCATCTTGATATCTTGGGGTGACTTTGATTGGAGCTCAGGTTTGACTGAACAGAGTCAAAACCAAACTGATTTATTGTGACTCTTGTAATGTAATATTTGACCCAGTTAGAAGCTTTGGTCTGGGTCAAACATGAGTGAACATGCCTCCAAGGAATGGCCATATATGGTTTAAATTGCCGCCAAATTGCCTTAGCTAACTTAGCTTGATCAAATTCGTTTGTGACTCTCACTCATAATGCTCACGGATAGTAATCACATCGTTTCTCCATTTACTCTAGCTCTACCCTAGAGTTTCAATCGAAGTCACCCCTAAGAGTTTCAAGGTGAATTTCAATCTATGGTCTTTGAGACAGTTGATACATTAAGATGGTGAGCTCAGTAGCTTGTGTAATGATAAAGAACTTGCATAATCAAATAGAATGGCATTAAAAACTGAAGATATTGCTGTTAATGGTAAAGCTTGTCTGTGGATTTGGTTGTATTTATATCTAATAGAAGCTCCAAACATTAATTTGAAATTTGATCTCCAGATGTTTTTTTGTGTGCAAAATTAGACAGTTTTTGTGGATTTTTCACTTAAGTGTGTTCACAATAAATTTGGCACCAAATCACCCTTTGTGCTTGACATTACCATCTATGCTCTGGAAGATTTGGCTGTAATTACCAGTCTATTCAAAACCTCAAATTTCAAATTTTGGATGTAAGATATTTGGTTTTTTCAAAAATTCAGTTAATGCTCGTAAAACATGTCATGTATTTTATGTATTTCAGAAAAATAACTATGATGAAAAGATTGATGTAGGCGATGATAGTATCTTCTGTAAACTAGGACAGAGTGGTTTAATATCATTCTCTGATTACATCTTTCTTCTTACTATTCTTTCTAGTAAGTTATATCCATTTACATCTGAATGATTACCTCCCTTTATTAGTCCATTACATCTAAATGATTACTTAAATTCATTAGCCCATTACATCTGAATGATAACCTCCCTTCATTAGCCCATTTCATGAATTATTACCTCCCTTCATTAGCCAATTAAATGTATATCATTATTACTTTCTCACATTTTACTTATGTCAAGTTGTCTGGTATACTCAAAACATGTTTTTTCAATATATCATGCGCTCTAGTCATTTGACATACTGTCAGTTTGGCCCCTTTTTGTTTCTTTCCAATAAGCATGTTGTGTCACCATCCCCTGCCTTCATGGTGAAGCCCTCATGTTGACGACCACTCAGACAGCATCTTTGCCAAAACTTTGTCCTTGATGATATCAACTGTAACTTATCAAATACAGGTAATACTGAAACCATAACTTGGTAATATCATTATTTTTCAGCCCCACCTAGAAATTTCCAGATAGCATTTCAGATGTTTGATTTAAATGGAGATGGTGAAGTTGATTCGGAAGAATTCTGTAAAGTAAGTTATATTTGAAATTGTTTTAAAAAAGATAGCATCTTTTCACTTTAGATGGAATAAAAATTTGTTTGTTCAATAAGCTTATATATTTTAAATAAGTCATAGTTCGGTCATATTAGGTAGTTGTTAAGAAGTCGACAGAGGGAGCAAATTACAGTATAGCCTGCTTATGTACCCACCTTTATTAAACGATCACCTACAATATGTGACAGCAATAAAGTCCCCCCTACAACTTTTCAATATAATTAACGACTGATAAGCGACCACCTTCATTACGCGACGAGCGACCATGTGTTTACACTCCCATAGAATCAAAATGACTCAATTAAGCGACCATGACACTTCTCATTATCTTGGAATCAAATGCTTGCTGTCAATCAAATGTGATTTTGAAATTTCAATAATTAAGTAAGACACTTCATAGAAAATTAAACCAATGCTGATTGTTGATTTCTGATGATATCTGATGTATTTGTAGGTACAGGAGATATTACGATGTCAAACAACAGTAGGTAAAAGGCATCGTGATAGATCAGTCACGGGTAACGTTAATAAAGGCATGAGTTCGGCTCTCTCTTCTTACTTCTTCGGTGAAGACACCAACAAAAAACTCACAGTCAAAGTGTTTCTCGATTTCCAAAGACAACTTCAAAGAGAAATTCTGAAAATTGAGGTATGGGCTTTAGTTTTTATTTAAGGGCCCATTAACAAAAGTATATTGTTATGTTATTGAATGGATTTAAAATGGCCACCAGGTTGACTCTAAAAGGCATCTCTGGGGCTGTCGAACTTACGACAAAATCCAAATGAAGTTGAAGAGACTTGCATACTGGATGCAAATTCTAAATTACATATTGTGTTATTAAGTAGGCTCCTTTTTCAGAGAATCTTGTTGGTGTATGTAACTTGTATGTTGTTGATTTTCATTCGGTATGTGTTAAAAAACGAAGATCAAGTTCGAATTTGAGCTATTTTCGACTGTTAGAAACAGAGTTATTGCCCTTGCCCCAAAATCTTGAATATGCTATTACTCTCTTAGTTTTCAACCGATTTTGATGAAACTTAAAATGGATGTTTCGTTTTTACCATCCGCATGCCATGGTGGGCGTATATGGCTGTGGTCCACTATCTTATTTCATTAGCCTTGTCAAGCACATGAAAATGGTAAATGAGATGTAAAACTCAATCTAATATTATGTTTATTTTAGTTCAATCGTGTAATAAATGAAGATGGGAAGATCAGTGAGAAAGATTTCAGTAAGGCGTTATTAAGCTACGCTGGTTTACCTGATGTTAAACGTAGCAGAATGATCAGACGTGTTAAGCGGAAATTCAAAGAAGAAGCCAAGGTCAGTTATTTAACAGAACTGTCTGAAGTTATATTAAAAAAAACACATAAAATGGTGTGGGTGATAGAGCGGGGCAATATTAGGTCAAGTTGATTTTTTTTATCCGGTTGGTGATGTAGGTAAGAGGGTCCTAGTTTGACCTCGAAGGATGATGAGTGATATGATGATGAGAATAAGTGAGACTATGTTCTGCCTGCTATGTACTTGAAAGATCCCTCAAGAATTGGATATTTTTGGTTGAAATAGTGCCTTCTTCATTATCCTATAACTAATTATTTTGTGCCACTATTATCTGCACATAACAGTAATTGCTGTTGCTGAGTTTTTTTATCGGCCTGTGCTTTCGTATTTTCAATTATATTGTTTTTAAGATTACTTTCACCTGATAATTTTAATGTATAATACAGTTTATATGATATATATTTTTCAGGGTGTTACATTTGAAGAGTATTATAATTTCTGGTTGTTTTTAAAGAGTATTAATGATGTAGATACAGCTCTAAGTTTTTACCATCTTGCTGGTGTTTCTATTGATATGGGTAGGTAGATTTAGAGGAGACCTGGTCACATATTCTCGAAACGATCTTAGCGCTAAAATCAATGTTAGATGATAAGAACCTAGGACATCCTAGCGCTAATATCGTTTCGAGAATATGCGGCCTGGTGCCTAACCTGGATACTCTTAACCTAGGCCGAGTACCTGTGAGTCCTTATGGATCATTCTAATCCCCCTGTAGGTAGATGTAGAGGTAATCCTGGGGGCTGCATTCAACTAAAAATTTTACATTGTTGTAAGGGTAGAATCATTGAGAAGTACCTTACGATAAAATTGATGGTAAAGTTTTTGTGGAGCAAGGCCCTTGTGGCCCAATGGATACTTATATCTCTTGGAATATTTGTGAAGCCTCTTGGATTATTCTATTAAAGGCGTTGAATAGAGGTTTCTAAATTTTGTATGTGTATTAGAGCCATTAATGGCTTAAATTTGTACTAGTCAAATTTTCAGTCAGATGTCTGTGGTTCCTGTAATTATAGAAATACTTATCCTTATGTGTTGTCATTTACGCAAATATATTAATCTAATAATATCCAACTGCATTTGTAATAGGTACACCATAAAACTCTTAGTTTTAGTGGAATTGCAGGAACCAAAGACATCTGACCCTACATTTCAAGACTCTATAGTATCATTCCAAACCAAATACTCAAAGTGTACATGCTTTTGTTTTTTTTTTTCAGAAACATTTCGACACGTAGCGAAGACTGTAGCTCAAGTTGAACTCTCTGATTATGTTATTGATATTGTGTTTACATTATTCGATGAAAACAGTAAGTCTTTATATTCCTTTTCTCTATAGTATAGGGCAAACAGAAATGGCACCATTCTTAAAGCTCCACTAACTGATTTAGTGTCACATTCCTAAAGAGCCCTGGTTCCTAACCTAGGGTGTTTTCACCCCCTGGGGGTGTGACACTAGGGTGTCAGGGGTGTGGCCAACTGGTGTAGGAGAAGAATTCATTTTGAATTGAGAGCAACTCACATCATCACATGGTGGAAATGTGGATGAAACAAATTGGTGTGAAGGCTGAGAAAGGTTGGGAACCACTGCTATAGAGATCACAGTAGACAGGATATTTACTATCAAGTGGTTTATTAAAACACTTTCTCTCTGAGCTAAATTTCCACAGTTTGATCATAGCAAGTTTTACCTTTGTTGTGTTAAAGAATCATTTATTGTAAATGGCGTAAAATGATATAGACATCATTGATTAAAATTACTACGCTCAATGATTATTGTGATGTAACAACCACACGAATTTGTATTGGTCCAATGGAAAGAATATAAGCTAATGTAAATATTAATGTTAACTTTCAGATGATGGTGAATTGAGTGATAAAGAATTCGTCAGTGTAATGAAACAAAGATTATTACGAGGTTTAGAGAAACCGAAAGATACAGGCTTTATTAAACTTATTAACGCTATAGGAAAATGTGCTAAAAATCAAACGTCTCTTTTCTTAGAGTAAGAACAGTTGTCAAGCCAACGGGCGTTTGCATGAATGAGTTCAGGAATTTTGTCCAAGTATTGTATTACATTAATTTTGAATTTCTTTAGTCAGAAATATGAACCTTGTGCTGCCAACATTTATTTTGAATAAAATCCTCATCAGTGAAGCATTCTTAAGAAATGGCATGTTCCTATAGCAACAGTAGATATCCATATCTAGCTACATATGGATAATATTGTACTGTTGCTAAAGGAACATGAGAAAATGGGGGTTAACTAAAAAATATTTGACAAGGGTTTTGTTAAAAGTATTGATTTGAAATTTCATCTAGGTATTGTTGAATTTCCATATCAAAAAATTTCAATTAACAATAATAATTAGTGAAGTTTTTGGAGAAAGGAAAATTTCACAGAAAATTATCGTCTCAAAAAATGTACAATCCCTTTTAGTTTAACTACTAGGTGTTTCCAACTTATTGGAAGAGGGTAATGATCATTATTTTTGACACCTATTGATTAAGTTTTGGATCAAAGGTCTGTATTCCCTCCCCCCTTTCTATCAGCTTTGTTATTTCGGTGAAAGGGGTGTGTTTGTGATAAAGTACAATAACTTGGCCTTATGGTTCTTGTCTCTTTAGGGCACAAATATTGAAGTGTTTTTTGGGATTGTTATTAATTTTATTGTGTATATGTTATAAGATATAGTTTGAAAAATATATCTTTTACTCATCCAGGACAATTCAAACAAGACATAGATATATTTCTCCACAATTTGGGCATTATTTGGCTAAAATTCATACATCAATTTTATTAGAACAATCAAAAACCATAGCAACTTAAACATAGAACTAGTTTTGGTGTCCTAAAATTATTGGCAAGAAACTGTAAGTTAAGACACATTTCTCTAGATTTTGTTGTCTAGTTTTCAGAAATTTAACCAATTTTTTTCGGCCATATCTATTTAATAATACTACCACTTTAAACCACCTACCACCAAAATATAGTTGACCTGATTGTTTTGAATTGTTTGCTGTTGTGTATCTGGTATCAGACTGTTAAAATTTGTTTAGTATAATTTAATTAGAGACAGTTGTCCTTTATATTATTAAACTTGTTATTTATTATAATATATTTCTACAATTTAAATAGTTTTCATGTTTTACCCAAGATGAATCACTATCTCTATTCCACCAGTTAGATGTTTCTTATCCTAGCTAACCATCCCTAGGTTTTTTATCCCAACATATGCCGAAATACATACGAATATGGAGAATTAGTTTGGATCCCACAGTCAGCACTTATAAGATTCCCCCGAAAGTTAGACATCATGTAAAGCAGATTAAACTGCATGTCACTGAGCAGTGTCTATAGGTTTTTTATATTGCACTGCAGCTTTGAATTCGCTAAGCCAGATTATAAAAACAAAAATATCGACTCGATCATTCCAGTAGAAAAAAAGTAGTGCGACCGTATTCAACATAAATGGATTGAATTATTACACAGGCCTGATTTTCTTTGTATTGTTATAGTAGGATTACACAGGTATATAATAAAACATAATACTGGTCAGGTGAAAGAGGTTTACACCCTATTCTATGCAGGATTGTAAGAAGACAAAAGTAATATATTTGAACAGGTTTTATTCAAATGAATGATAAATGAATTATAGTATTAAATTTGCTTCATGATAAATTCTGAACTAGTGAAGTTTTGAAGGAGAACATCAAAACCCACATGCAATAATTGCTGATAGTCTTTTCATATTAACAGCGAATTAATAGAAAGAAATAGCATGAAAGGAAAAACAACTATTTTTTGCAATAAAGCACTTTTGGATAATTCATAAAATTGACCCATTTTAAAATACAATTGACTCTTATCATGTAATATGCAAAGCAACGTGTCTAGTTACTTAGCCCAGTTATCAGAATCGAATCAATTGTTTTATATGAAATACAACAATTTTTTTTGTAAGATGCATTATTTCACCATCATGTATAGATTTGGTGAGATATGGAGCTTAATTTCCAATATGAAAATTTGGGATTTAAGACTAAGTGACAGATGAAAATTGCTATATACAAAAACAATATAAGTAAAGAAAGAAAACATGGGGGACAAATCTATATATGTACATCTAGGACGATTTTATGACATACAGAAGTACTACAGTGTGTTAGTTTGTTTCCATGCTGAACAAATACTCTAGACCCCAGTTCTCAAAAATAACGATTTGATAACATCAAAAATAACGTTTTTCTTCACTTACAGCACAATTTTTAAGAAACAGGGTCCAGGTGTCATGGACCAGCTTTCACAAAATCATCCACAAAGGATAATTATCATAATCCAGTAATCTGATTGGTCAATAATTTAAAATATGCGTTATCAACAAATCAAATTACTGTATTTTAAGTGTTTTGTGAAACGTTAGTGTCAAACAGGGCCTTGACCAAAAGACAAAGAAGTTCAGGATCTTATTTGTATGTGGACATTTTGTATGTACTCAAATCGACCCTAGATGTGCCAAAATATCTTTGCCCCACAAAAATTGAAGCACATTATAATGTGGTAGAGACATTTCTGCAAAAAATGCACAAAAAAAATAACAGTTTAGACAATATCTATGCCAGATATGATACACATAATGAACATCTTTCACTTTCTAAAACAATAACTTTTAAAATTTATAGACATCTTTGGTTCCGTAATTAATTGTAGGCATCGTACGCGTTCATCATTCCTGAAAATAGAAAAATAATGAGAATTGATGTCTGGATATGGGTTCACAAATCTTCAGCTATAATGTACTGTGTCTTATACCTTGACTGCAATAGCTACCTTTTTTGATTCATGGAATGTATCAATTTGATTTGATTGTACACTAGTTAATACAGCCAATCAAATAATCAACATAAAGACTTATAGCTAATTGGTTTAGTGAAAAAATCCAAGAGGAAAGTTTTTATATGCCTTTTCGTGCTAGCAGAGATACGCAACGTCATTCTGTATGCAATAAGGTACATGAATAATAATAAAAAGTTTTGATTTACTAACTACAGATTAAGGTTTAAAAAAATCAAAATGTTTCAGCAAATGCCAACTGACTTTTTGACTTAAAAATGTGCACACTTGCTTTAAAATTTAATACTGTTGAATTAATAAACAGAAATCATATTTCAATAATGTTCTTTGTCAAGTTAATAACTTACCCCCACCATATCCTCCACCAGTATTAAAATTTCCACCAGGTCCCCCGAACGAACCTCCTCCCATATTACCACCCATACCCATAGTTCCCATTCCCATCATATTGTTTGCTCCATTGCCCATTCCAGCACCCATACCATTGTTACCAAAATTATCTCCTCCACTAAAACTATCTTCTGGTGTTGAATTGAGGAAGAGTTCTATATAGCGATGTTCTGAAAGGTATAAATAGAATGCTGGCATCAAAAGTGATTTTTATGTGACAAGAATGGAGTTCAATTTTTGCGGCATTATCTGATACAGATCTGATATAGATGCAAATAAAATATGGATATACAAGATGATTTGTTGTGCTTAATGAATACAGACAGCAACACAAGTCTACTTTTTTTCCATTGCCCACTGTCGTAGACACCGTCTGCTCAAGTGGCCTTGGATTATTGTCCAATCAGAATGTTTTTACATATCATCACAGGGGTAGTAAGTCACTGGGCTGGCCTCAGAAATACTGGCTGAAAGATTTATAATGCATGAAAATAGATACTTACGCATGTTACATTTGTGTTTTTTCATAGCCTCGACAGCATCAGCATGTGACTCAAAATCTACATTAGCTTCTCCAGTAGGTCTATTATTAGAACCATATTCAAATTCTACTTTTACTAGGCGTAGTGGAGTGAAAAACTAAAATAGAATTTAAAGAGTTCGTTCAACTTTCAGCACTACATCAAATTAACCAGTCATTAGTTAATTCATGATGATCCTGTCTAACAGCTGGTTTTAGCATTGATCTTTCCCAGATTATCCAGACCCTCTTACAGCTGGGAGGAATGGAATAAAGAGGAAAGATGACTTTCACATGCCGATCAAGGTTAAAACCAACAACAACTATTTGTGCGACGAAACCAGACAAATGTTATGCAAAGATTTTAACACTTCAACCTACTGTGTTACAGCCAGCTCTAATAGTAAGAAAGATATGGTATATTTTGAATACTTACATCTTGTATATCAGACTGTAGAGCTTGAAATGGTAAACCTCTCATATGAACTGAATGTCCTGTATTACTCTTATACTGACTACCAGGCTGAGACCCAGGCATTCTGTTACCCCCCATTCTATTTCCCATTCCCCCTCTACCTCCTCTCATACCACGTCTATTCCCCATTCCCCCTCCTCCAAAACCACCCCCCATTCCACCATATCCACTGCTGTAATCATCAAAATCATCATCGTAAAATCCTGAAATACAAAATTTAGACATTAATGATTGATTAAATTCAGAAGTGCTTTGTTAGTAGGTTTGTCATGTTGAAAAGAACTCTTTCATCTGTTACTTGTACGCTCTTTACATAATCTAGCCTCCTTCATGTCTGCTCTATTGGACTAATAAAACACTTAATAAAAAGTTATGATATTGCAATGTTAGAAATTTTGGAAAGGCAGCCTCATTCTTCCAATCAACTTTTAACTATCTTAATGTGCACAATCTGCGTAAAAAGACTCTCAACTAACGCTTCCTTGCAAAAGCAAAAACCACTTTTCCAAACCCTTCCCTTCTACCTGTAAAACTGTGGTAAAGATATTAGTGGATTTTTTTTATGTATCTAGGAAGGCACATAATTCAGATATCAATTCCTTATAGATTACAAGAATTAGTTCAAGAATAAAGGTTTCTAAGTAAGGTAATGAAATCCTCAAGAAAACCCACTAGAAATATTCTCACCTTTAATTTGTCTTCCACCTCGACTTCCTCTTCCAAAGTTACCTCCCATTCCCATGCCTCCCATAGCACCCATACCATATCGATCATTTCTATCATAGGGTCCGGGGCGGCCGCCCATGGACCCACCGCCTCCTCCTCCACCCATCAGGGGGCGGATATTTCTGTTACTTCCTAATGCTGCATGTGCTTCACTTAGACTACTCTTGAAGATTTCAATGTACCTAAAAATGGGATAAAAATAAACTTAGTAAAGTGTATAGTGCTGAAAAAATAAGGAAATTTGCTATTTGAAACGCTTTTTTTTTAATTTTTAAAATATCTCTAGATTACAAAAAACTTTAAATTTGTTCTTTTTTTGTATATTTTCAAATCAATTTAAATATTAAAATAAAATTCAAACTTAAATGCAACCGAAAAACAAGCTGAACTTTTGAAACAGAAAATCTAAAAATTCAATTTTTAAATCAAAAATTTTAGTGACTCTAAACATGTTAATAATCATTATTTGAAATTTGATCCAAGCAAAAAGAAAAGAATGAAAAATAGAAATAGATTTTAACCCAACACGCCCACAATACCGACCACCCAAAGGGTCCCGTGGTTCTTTCGTGTTGTGTTTATAGCCCGAGGGCCCGCCCACCTGTGCCCTATCCTTTCCTTGTGTTTCCCAAGTGAGCGTTCAGCAATGGTTTGGTTCGCAAACTGTACGTAAGCCTCCCCCGTACTTCTACCCTGTCGATCCTCTGGCAACATAATCCCATTCGGTACTATCTCCAACCCTACAACCCACCCAAACAAAACAAAATTAAACATTAGGCTTTCTCCCGATACGAGAAAAACAACAATACAATATCGTTATCATTTAATATTTTCTTAATTGTCCAACTTCTAATTAACTACATAATCTTGTAATCAAAATATATTCAAAAATATTTCAAATTTCAGTCTGATTACAATGAAAGATCTATATATTGAATTCAGCTTGATATGAACTATCAGGATATAAAATTCACTTCTAATACATTTTGATTGCAAGATTTTTCAAAAACGAGACCAAGCACATATTAACCATTCAACTCTTGTCCAATCCTGAGATTTTCTATGCTCAAAAGACTCATTTAAGAAGTTTAACATCATTATTGTTTTTTCCTCAAAACCTGAACATTTAAAATGTTTTACATCATATTTTTCTCCTTTTTTTTTTTTTCGTAGGGAGTAAATCCAAACGGAAATCTTTACCTGTGAAAAACTGAGCAATTTCTTCTTTTGAGCAGCCAAACGGCAACCCCCTTAATCGAACACAAGAATCATTTAAACCTTCGTGTTGGTTTGGACCAGCTCTTTTGATCACCCAATCCATTTCACTTCGTTTCGAACGGAACACTGGAAACAAATAGTAAAATTAGGAGTAATAACTATCATTTCACAAAATTTTCAACAAAATTAGATTTATTCTAAATATTTCATGGCAAATTCACAAATGAAATAAACAATGTGAACTCTCTGAAAGGATTTGAAAAGGCACTAAGTTGACAAACGAAATTGCTATGTAGACTCTCTGAAATGGACAAAATCAAATGTCATATAAACATTATAAGCTATGGTGATGATCTGCAAAGCAGAGAGTTGGCAAAGCAAACAATGTGGAATCTCTGTCTGAAAGGACTAGTGGAATTGGTGCCATAAAAGTTGACTAAGGAAAATATCCAATATTTAAGCACTCACTTTTCAAGGAATCACAGGTGTTCTTACCTTCAAGGTATCTTGAACCCATATGGGCATTGTGTTTTCCCATTGCTATTTCTACATCATCTGGAGATTCAAACTCTATAAACGCCTCACCACTAGGGCGGCCTTCACGTGAAAACGTGAAATGAATACCATTCTCTCCACCACAAATATTAGAGCCTAAAATAATCAACCCAAATATTAGAGCCTAAAACAATCAACCCAAATATTAGAGCCTAAAACAATCAACCCAAATATTAGAGCCTAAAATAATCAACCCAAATATTAGAGCCTAAAACAATCAACCCAAATATTAGAGCCTAAAACAATCAACCCAAATATTAGAGCCTAAATAATCAACCCAAATATTAGAGCCTAAAACAATCAACCCAAATATTAGAGCCTAAAACAATCAACCCAAATATTAGAGCCTAAAATAATCAACCCAAATATTAGAGCCTAAAATAATCAACCCAAATATCAGAGCCTAAAATAATCAACCCAAATATTAGAGCCTAAAACAATCAACACAACTATTAGAGCCTAAAATAATCAACCCAAGTATTAGAGCCTAAAATAATCAACCCAAATATTAGAGCCTAAAATAATCAACCCAAATATTAGAGCCTAAAATAATCAACCCAAATATTAGAGCCTAAAATAATCAACCCAAATATTAGAGTCTAAAATAATCAACCCAAATATTAGAGCCTAAAATAATCAACCCAAATATTAGAGCCTAAAATAATCAACCCAAATATTAGAGCCTAAAACAATCAACCCAAATATTAGAGCCTAAAACAATCAATAGATATTAGAGTCTATACTGTATACTTCCTTAAGTGGCATTTAGTAATTGAGGTATGAATATTATGAACACAATTATATGGATAACAATTACTTTAATATATAACTTACGACGTTTCACCGATGATACTTTCGTCTTTATCAAGCAATGATGATCGAAACGTCACAAGTTATTCATTAAAGTAATAGTTATCTATAAAATTGTGTTCATATATTTTTACTGTATACTGTACCTTCAAAAAATTTCAGAACTTCTTCGGTGGTAGAAGACCAGGGTAGGCCTCTAACTCGAACAATACAGCCATCATCTTCTTCAGACATATTGGATTTATTACGAATATTACTGTGGGTTTGAAGATCGTCTTCAGCGGTATGGCCGGGAGAAAAATTGTCAAATGGACTTAGATAATCGTCGTCTGGTGTTTCCTCCTGAAAAATGGATTCAACCATATTAAATTATTAATTTCATTCTTTGTACTTCAACATGAACTACATTATCATAAAATGATGGGCCCACTGCTCACTTTATAATAGGGCTGCCATTGATCTGAGTTGAATTTTTGTAAAGATAATTTGAATATCAGCATCAAAACCCTAACTCAAAGAGTCACAGAATGTTATGGGCCACATTACCCATTCAATTTCAGCCAAAAAGTCCCAAATTTGGGCTGGATATTCAAATTTTCCTCTGTCGCTGATAAACATTTTTGAAGACGTGTGCTCCATAGTCATATTTATATCTATTTCACCGCAAAGACATTTTAAGACTGAGATAAACAGTTCTATTTTGAGCCTGCTATTCCAGTTAAACTGAGATCTTTAGGACATATAGTTACGATTGCTGATAGAAAAGAGAAAAGAAGTCTTCAATAGCCGGACATAATCAAAATAAAAATGGCGAATCACGCCGAAAATGGCGACAAAAGGATATTTGTAAATGAAATGTTCGCTTGTTTTCATTGAAAAGTATTAGTTCAATAGACTGCAAACCACCCAATTTCCACTATTTAAACACAAAATTAGTTCATGCGTATTTACTTACGAGATAATCCTAGAAAGAAAGCTTATTTTTCTATATTTTATTCTCTTGAAGCGAGACAAGTATTTTTTTGTTTCGTTAGCGATTAACGTGGTTAGTGCGCATACAAGATATTTCGACCACATGCCAAATCGCCCAACATTTCAGAATTTTTAGAAACCAGCTCGTCACAATTAGTTTTACTTTTATTTGTATGGTGTTTGAATTGAATTTCGTCTGAAATATGCAGTAATTTCTAAATCTCATTTCCAAATAAATCAACAGTCGTTTGAGATTAGAGAATTGCATTAGTAGTCAAGATTTTACACGTGAAATTAGCCCACAATTTGTTTTGTTTTTTTGATATAAAAATGCAAATTTGACTCCAAAACCACAGTTGACAGTTGATTTCAACTTGAGCCTTTTAGATTTAGTTTACAAACTTAAACTTCAATAATAATACCTTTTTGATAATTATATCCATGTTAGTAAAATAATGTATCTTCACAAAAACTTCAGTAACTATGTAATACTAAGTAGGAGTCAAAGTAAGAATAAAACTGTCCTCACGGAGAATGCACGTGCATTGTGAGTACCGTTAATACAAGCTAATCTGGAGTAAACAGATTTTGTCAGGTTAATTAGATATCACTTGATGGCCATTCAGAGTAGTTTCTTAAATTAATAGTAGGGAGGGACCAAATTGGAGCCATGGCATGCTCATTGCTCAAAGGCATTGAAAAATGAAAGCTCCATGAAATTTTAAACTATCAGACCAAGGGCAAAGGCGTCAAACGCCTTTCCTGTTTTCTGGTACAACCCCATACGTCACTTTGCCATTCGACTGTCTTCTCATCAGAGAAGGTCAGGATGACGATTTGTCTCTTTCAGACAGTGGACAATTTGTCTTGGGTCGATTTGACTCAACTTTAGACGATCAACACAAGTACCTGTCGATATCCTTCCACAAGTAACAATAGTTCTACATTGAGTTCTAAAATTTATCACCAATCCCTCGGATATCTAAAAAAAATTGAATTTTGAATAATTTTAACCGATGTAGATTCTATAAAGACGACAAGAAAGACAATTTGATGCCGATATAATTCATATCTTTATATTTATTGATTTTTACACATCAGAAATGTATTGCTACGCTCCCATGGAATAATAACATAATTTGCATAAAAACTGAATGAAAATGGCATTTTATCGTTTTAATATTTTGTAATATTTAGAAAAACATGAAATAACAGAAGAAAAATCGAAAATGGAAATAGCACGTGCCGTATTTGGCACGAGAGACACAGAGGGATACAGTAGTAAAGCCACAGCTGGTAAGATCCAAGTCCAAAGACAGATTCCAAACTCAAAAAGGTCCGAGCCCAGTGCTTGGGCAATGACAAAATGTCTATCGTTGACAGTGAAGATGGAGGGGAGGGGGCTGGAGGATATACTCTGACTTGTCTTCTGTTACTATTATTGCCAAAGATATGGGAGTTAGAAGTCCGGGGGGTGGGGAGGGTTGGTAGCAAGTCACAAAATCTGCTGATTCTCGGCCATCTCTGGGGGAAGACAATTTTGGTAAGACTTTCTGACAGCCTAACCTGAGAGGTTAGGTTACCCCTATGTGCCATGCCTGTGCTTGTGCTTTCGTAGCATTACCTAACTGCGATGTTTCAACCAAAAATTTATGCGCACAAGAGAAGAACCCAGCCAGAGTTATGTGCCTTAAGTGAAGCACTGCCTTTTCAATTGATTTAATCTATATTCAATGGATTTACAAAAAAACAAAAAAATATTACAATTATGATATAGATATTTCAAAATATGTCATGAAAATTGGTGTACACTATCTCTTTGATGAAGAGCTACTTCTCATCTATTTATTTGATAACTAAGGCCAAAGGGTTAAAACGTTAAGATGTTTTATTAATGATGGCTTACATACATGATTACCAGTCAACTGGTCTACATGTCAACTTGTCGACAAAATTTCGTTGGTTAACTCGTCCACAAAAGTTAACTCGTCTACAATATTTGCGGAGTCAACTCGTGAACAAAAATATGATGGGGAAAGCGTTTTCATATACAAGAACTACCTTCATTATAAAAGAGTTCTGATCAAGAGGAGACAATAAAATTGTAATGTTGACTATGATGTACCTTGAAAATTGACGAACACTGTCTCTTTCATAAAGAGCTACCCCAACAATGGTCTCGTCTGTTTTTTTACTATGACTATGATATACCTTGAAAATTGACGAACACTGTCTCTTTCATAAAGAGCTACCCCAACAATGGTCTCGTCTGTTTTTTTACTATGACTATGATATACCTTGAAAATTGACGAACACTGTCTCTTTCATAAAGAACTACCCCAACAATGGTCTCGTCTGTTTTTTGACTATGACTATGATATACCTTGGAAATTGGGGAACCTGCCATTTTACCCTAGACACAGTCTGATGAGTTTGAAACCGTAAAGTACCTGTTGATTGTTTTAAAACAAGGTAACATATGTCAATAATTAGCCATTGATGTGGATATTGGCTATTGTTGTTTACACACCTAGACCAGTACATTTAGTGGCAATATTTGTTACTTCGTCTAGTGCTTGGATCACAATATATCGAAATATATAGGAATAATATGCCTTGAAATTAGAGATTTTGAGTGATATATATTGCCAATTTAGTTACATTATTGGATATAACTTATTTTAAGAGAAATATTCTTGTAGCCTCAAGAATTCAAATTGGTTTTGGTCTGCATTGATTTATTCATGTATTAGAAAGCATCACTTATTCCAAGAGAAATATATCAATGAGCCTCAAGAATGATACATTGTTTTAAACTGTGATCTGTGATGGATTGATAACTTAGATTTTGTTAAAGCCTTATTTTAGAGAACTAAGGGACGGACAAGAATCTTCTGATTTTGGTTGGACTGTTTTTAATCAAAGAAATGTGTTTGAGAGTCTATTGAAATTTTACTTGTGATTTGAATTGTGATTTACTGAAATAACTTATGTTTGAATGTGAGCAGTGGATATTTGCTTCAAAGATGCTATTTTAACAAATACAGACAAATTGTTATAACTGATACATGATGATTGAATCAATGTAGATCTTTTATTTACAAATAGTGACCAAGATTGTAGTAATTAGGAGACGTATACTGCATATTTGAATGTCAACAAACATTGTCCAAGAGTCTAGTTTTAGTAAACATAAACCATGAAATCACAACAGATGATTGCGTTTTATATTTGTCGAAGAGTCTACCAATTAAATGGCCGATTATCATGAGTGCCTAACCTTAAGTAAAAATTCTGACTAATGTTGGAATACATTTTATTTTTGTCGATAGTGTAGTACTTATCAGGACTAATAATTGAATATGAACGAACAGAAATTTTTTTGTGTCTGGGCTTAAATCAGACTAATGTTTGAATGTGTTAAATATCTGTCAAGAAGCCTTGCTGTTGTCATACAGAATAATTGAATATGAACGGAAAATAGTGTCCCAGCCAGAGTTTAGATTAGTAAAACAAGAATCATATAAAAAATGATGTTTGAATTTGTTCAATATTTGTCAGTGAAGGAACCAAGTAATTATGACTAGTGTTCGAAATATGAATAGAAAATTGTGATAAGGGTTGAAAGGCATTTAGAATTTTTCTAACTTGGAGGAGTATTGAAGGACCTAATCGCCTAGCAGACGACATTCCAACTCGCTACTGACTGAGCTATTCTACTGTCTTGGCACATGGCAATCCAACTCGCTACTGACTGAGCTATTATACTGTCTTGGCACATGGCAATCCAACTCGCTACTGACTGAGCTATTATACTGTCTTGGCATATGGCAATCCAACTCGCTACTGACTGAGCTATTATACTGTCTTGGCACATGGCAATCCAACTGGTTTGTGGCTACTGACTTAGCTATTACACTTACAGATTTTTTCAATGTGTCTTATGTTTGATTGTGTTTTATATTTTTCAGCTGAAACTCTATCAGAAGATGAAGATGATGAGATTAAGACATGTACGGGGGACGGCATCAGTATATCAGCTACACCAGCAGTTACCAATGAGTCTGGCTTTACTCCTACCCCTGGGGGCCCTTTCTCAGCCCTCACACCCTCTATGTGGCCCCAGGATATCATGTCAAAACTTGGAAACACGGTAAGTGATGTGTTTATGTTGTAGGAATTAGAAAGGGGCCATTTCAATCAGATATCCTGCAAATATAGAAATCATTTGTGAGGTAGAACGTTGAACCGAAAATTTGAATGTTGCAAATTGATGCTATCAGTGTTCCTGATGCACAGTAAAATTTCAGAAATCCTTTTTACAATCCCTTTAAGAGCAATCTGATAGCCCAACCAGGTATAGAAAAGTAGGACATAAAACTACTTTAGTTTTAATGAGTATGTATTAATTTATTAATTTTATATATTATATTATCTAGCCTGAAGATAGCCATGGCCAGTTAGATTATAGATATGATGAATTTGGTTTTAAAGTAGAAGAAGAAGGTATGTAATTTATCAAATCTATTATGAGCAACAGCTCTTTCGTTGTTATGGATACAAAATCATTATCAGAACAGCTGTGTGTCTTCCATGTCCACAATTGCTAACGCTGCTTACAATATTTTTGGTGAAATTGCAAGAACTGCTGTCAGTGCACATAAGATTCCTTCCAAAGAAGCTAAGTGAGGGTACTTACCAAGACATATATTTAACTTGTGCATTTTTTTGTGGAAGTAGATATATTGATAGCATTCTAAAACTACACTGTTCTTAGTCTTGATAGATGGTAGAATTTGCTTTGTTTGATAGTATTCATGTATGGCTTAAAAGCATATCAAAAATATACTCTACTTTTGATAAATATATTGAAAAACTTGTCCATCTTGTCTTGATGGAAAATTGTAAATACGTCACCTGAATATGTCAACTGCTTAAAGCACCAATTCAAATGAGTTATCCCATGTTGTTTTATTGTAGATGGCCCTGAAGAAAATTCCAGTATTTTATTAAGTACTCCGTTTGTTGAAGATCCGCAATATCGTTTGAAATGGACGGCATATTTAGAATTTACACATAATAATGAAGTGGGTGATCTGACCTGGGATAAGGTAGGAATTTAGGAATCTTATAAAGGGAAAAAGAGCTTAAAGATGGGTTTCCTTATTTTTTAGCGTCAAACTATTTGGTGTTTCTAATGAATAATCATGTATTCTTAATCATATCATTATGTTCTTATTGCATATAATTAAGAGTTTCAACCAATCATAAATGTTATGTTATAGTCTGGATAAACAAAAAAAGACTTTTTGACCTTTCTTGATCAGTCACTCCTTGGAATTCGGCCGGTAATTCTCTTCTAATTTAGCTAATTAGGAATTAATTATGGACATGTGAGACGAACTTGTATTTTTCCAAGTCATTAGAACACCTCTACTTTCTATTCATATAAGTATTAGCATTTTCACAAATAAAAATAAGGGAATCCATCTTTAATCTTGGCAGTAACCCCAAAAAATACATATCTTATATGCTAAAAGCTTAATTCTCTATTTTTGAAATGTCCCTCTCGATACTGAAATTTGGAAGGTTAATAAAAAAATTTGCCAGTTTAATCTCTGTTTACCACAAAATATGGTGTTGCCATCTCAATTTCATTACGAATTACTTTTGAAAGATATGCATCTTTGTTCTGCTTGCCTAAAAAAGGTGTTGTCTGCGTTTATTAGTCCAGTGACAAAGTAAACTCAATTTCATTTCATCCCTACTTTGTTTTAGGTTGAAGCTCATCTACCAAGATCTGAGAAGTTACGTGGAATGGTGAAAAATGGAATTCCTCATTCGTTACGAAGTCAAATGTGGATGAGATTATCTGGGGCGTTACACAAGAAATTAAATTCTGAGTTATCTTATAAAGATGTTGTTAAAGCTAGTGCCAATGATCATCTTATGACTTCTAAACAAATTGAAAAGGTAGAGTTGAAATCTTTATTTTTCATATTTAAAATATCTACTTTTTAAATGGATATACAGGCTACATAACAAGGTTATCCAATTGAACCTAAATCTGCAGGTTTTAAATAGAGAATAGGTTTGAAATTTACACATTTAAAATGGCTGTGTGGGCTAGATAGCATGGGTTGTAAGATAATTCTGTCTGAAAATGAATTTCTTTCCCATTTTCAGGATCTGTTACGTACAATGCCGAGTAATGCCTGTTTCTGTAATATTAACAGTACAGGGATACCACGGTTACGGAGGATATTACGAGGATTAGCATGGTTGTATCCTGATATAGGATATTGTCAAGGCACTGGTGTGGTGAGTATTATAGTCTAGAACCTAGGGTCCCAACAAGGACATCTTCAGAAAGTGTCCAATACCTTAAATAAATAGACACTTTTTTTGTTCTGTGAAAACTATAAAAACAGCAATCCCAAGGTCCTTCGACCTAGAAAGACTATACAATAGGGCTGCAGGTTTAATCAAAGGCTCTGATTGGCTAGCATACAATCCAATGAAATTGCTGCATTTACTTCATGATACAAGAAATGAGGTTCAATGTACTCAGGTGGCTGAAGGACAAACTGAGGCCCTGTGTGCTACAGGCACCATCTAGTACCAAAGAACTTGTAGATTGACCATTGATTGGCTTGTTATTTTATTATAGATAGCAGCTTCATTGTTACTGTTTAATGAAGAAGAGGATGCGTACTGGATAATGTGTGCTATTATAGAAGATTTATTACCAGCCTCTTATTATTCCAATACTCTTATTGGTATTCAGGTAAATAATGAAATTCAGTTTTTATTTTTACTGCTTCTAATGTTTGGTCAACTGCTGAGCAGAGCCCAGATATCTCTGTTTAGGAGAAAATTTGTGTTTAACAACATTCTAAATGAGAAATGGATATCCCTTTGTTCTTTATCCTTTTCCAACGCTGGCCATAGACTGTTAAATTAAGGTTGTTTATCTCTAGGCGGAAGAAGGCAATAAGTGTTTAGTTCCAAGCCAAGATATATTGACCATGTACTTAGCAAAGAATGTAGAGGTAGATAAGATAAGATAAGATAAGAGGATAAAATGTTATCAAAAGCAGGTGTCCACAGAAACTGTAACAGTTTTCTTCTAGCCAAGATGGCGTATGGATGTTTTATTGTCTTCCTGAATGTATAACTCCATTTTACTTTTCAAATGTTTCAGATGTTTCTTTCTCTTTTCTAGGCTGATCAGAGAGTTTTACGTCAATTGTTAATTAGTTTTCTACCGAATGTTGATCTTGTATTGAAGGAACATGATATAGGTAAGAGAGAAACATAGATTTACATGTGATTTCTAATTCTATAGGCTACTAATACAGCTTGCTTAGTGAGAAATAGCTTGATATAAGATATAATATGTTCGTTTAATAGCTTGGTATCCATGAATGCTTTTAAAAAAGTTATAACTGAATTAGCTTTATAAAACAATCACTACCTCAAGCAAAATATTAAAAATATTACTAATTATTGTCCCATGGTAGACAGGAGACCAAATTCTTGTTTTCGAGAAGCTGGCACATTTTCTGATTGTACAGTTTTGGATAGTTAACTAAAACTGATACTCAGAAAAAATCACATAGAACACAGGCAAGATTTTGACTCTTGATTTCCTTGTAACCTTATACAATATCCCCATAATGCTTTCTTTGTATAAGATAAGTTTGTATCAAATATAGCTATCTAATGGGACAAAGATCCAGCATGATTTGCCCATTTGACCCTTTGTGCCCTTATAGCCCTTAATATTAACAAGCATGTGTTGTTTGCATGATTTCAGAGCTTTCACTAATAAGTTTACACTGGTTTTTAACGCTGTTTGCCAGTGTGGTTCATATGAGAGTGTTATTACGTTTGTGGGATTTGTTTTTCTATGAAGGATCGGTTGTGATATTTCAAATAACGATGGGCATGTTAAAACTCAAGGTTAGTATAAATGGTTGGAGCTCAATTTTTTTCAATATCGGCTTCTATCGGTTATTATCTCTTTTGAGACATCATTCATCACAAGTTTTTATTCCACAGAGTACCTGACTCAGGGTAATATTCCAGGGGTATGATTCACCTTATCAAAGAGTTAACACAGCTAATGATGTTTATTTAATTTAGGAGTTCGTCAGCAAAGCATCCCTTTCAGAGAGACGTCATTGTTAATCATTTTAATTATGTACATAGACTATGTGTGTTTTATCAATCATGAATTGTGTTTTATTTCTAGGAAGAGGAGTTAGAAAGTTTAGATAACTCGGCTCAGATATTTAACGCTCTGTCTGATGTACCTGGTGATGTTGAAGATGTAGAGGCTTTGATAGAGGTATGTTAATATTATTATCTTTTATATTTTCTATATACTCAAATTAGAACCAAGACCATACATTGATTCATCAGTTTTTCCAAAATTTATAAACATTCTATAATACACAATATGTGATAATATTTGACTTTATGTTAAAATCAAAAATCAGCAGGTGCGCTGAGCAAACATGAGTTCTTTACATTAACATTTTAATGTTTTAGTATACATGAGGGAGTGATTCCTCTTGTCAATAATGTAAGTCAAATGGAACAATAAACTCTGTGTGTATGTTGGCCGATGTGACTGTCCTGGTCAAATTTCCTTGCTTTGAACAGATCTGATCTGATCAGATTCTGATTGTCATCAGAAGCAAGGTATAAGGATAACACAATCCACTTCTTAACTCCTATGAGAAATAATGATAATGCCAAATGTTATATACTAATAAGACTAAATAATTATTGACCTAATAAGAAAAAATTTTGTTGACAGGTTGCTTTCCGAGTGGCTGGTTCTCTATCAGATGTTGTAGTCGATACTCATCGTAGAAAGCATCTAGCCTATCTAATGGCTGATCAAGGTGCATTGGTTAACCCTGAATCTTCTCGTAATCTTCCAAAACAAGTAAGTAGATCCTCAGGGTTCGATCCCCTTACAGATTGAGATGATACCTTTAAATTTTTTAACACTATTCCCACATTTGAACACAATTTATTCTGAATTTTTCCAAATTGGAAAAGAATTCAAATTGGTCCTTAAAGATTCATTATTATTTGGATGGTTATTTTGTTAATCTTCAAATTTTCTGACCTTTGGAAATATTATTAGCAGAGTGAATTGAAGGCAAATAAAAGATATAAAACCCTGACTATGAAACATCTAGATTCGAAAACAATTGTGCCTTTGATTTCTGTCCCAGACTATCTATTAGAGACTGGTAAGTGGTCATCAATTTTCGAAACTAATTCTAGACACAGGATTAATTGGCCATTTTGTTTATTTTCAGCAACTAAACAAACGACATTTAAAAAGAGCACGGTCCTCATTATCTATATTACTATGGGGTAGCGAGGATGATGATTTTGGGAAAGCAAAGAATATTCATCAGACTGAATTATTGGTAGATTTACGTGAAGCGATATTACAAGTCGCTAGACATTTCCAGTCTCTAGATCCTAAAAACAATAAAGTTGTAAGCATATTTCTTGAAAACTCTTTATTTTTGTTGTATAAATTGAAATTTACCAATTATTTTCATATGAATTAGAATCTCAGCTTCATAATGGTACTGTTAGTCTTAGAATGACTAATGAAAAATAAATATGAGCAATCACTATGATTTTGAAATCTGTTATTGTAAGACAATCAGAATTGTTTTAAAGTTGATATTCAACTTCTCTCTAAAACATTTTGTAAGAATTTAGAACCATTAATCATAGTTGAGACAAATATTTTCCAGAGTTTGTTTGAAAAGACACAAGTTTTGGCTTAAATGTTTTATCTTTTGTTGCTCAATATGCTATCTTTTACAGGCATAACTCCATGAACCAATTCCATTTATAACTTATTGATATAATATATTTCTTGTTTCAGATTTTAACAGCAGACTATACTATGGATAGTCATGTAAAAGATCTAGAGAACTACGTAAATGTGGCTCGAACCAGGCGTAGAAGGGCCAAGGCATTATTAGATTTTGAGAGAAATGACGATGATGAATTAGGATTCAGAAAAAATGATATAATTACTGTAAATAACTTAGTTTTATATGTTTATACCCTTTTAATATAATAATAATAAAGGTATCTTCGTAGAGTTCAGCCTACCCTTCAACTATATTGTTATACAGGGAGATTGCACAATATCTGAAAAAGCCTTGATGGATTCATTTAATGGTTCAACTTTATAAAGATACTCAAATAAAAGTTTTACTATATTTGGATTTTTGTCATGGTGAACATGTTCATAAACTAGTGATCCAAAAAATGGATACTTGCAACTTTTTGAACTTTTGAGTCTGACCCTATTGGTGATGATATCAACTCCAAGGAACGGAAAGGACCAGATCTGTCAGCCTATAAGGAATATTGCAATAACACAAATGTATATACTTTTTGGATGGCCAAATTTTACCGTCTAAACAAGCCACTAAAAATATCTTTCCTTAATTATAACGTTCAATATTTTACAGATAATCTCTCAGAAAGATGAACATTGTTGGATCGGGGAGTTAAACGGGTTACGAGGCTGGTTTCCAGCAAAGTTCGTCGAGCTACTGGATGAAAGAAGTAAGAATTATTCTCAAGCTGGTGATGACACGATAACCGAGGCTATCACAGATATCGTCAGGGGAACGTAAGTCTATTTTATACTTAATAATTTGCCCGATTCATAATTTTATGATCCATTTTGTTTTAAGAATGGTATGATAAAATGTTAAGTTCTAAACTTGGACAAATTATTATCAAAAGTTATTTTGAGGACCAGGGACTAGAATAGGACCTTTATAATTTGACATGACTTGCTTGCAAAAGGTAAATTGTGGTCATGGGTGACCTTGAATAAGTTATCTTTTCTTATTACCTCATTCAACCCAGCTGTAAATAGAAAAGGTATATAAAAACTGAGAAAGATCAGCTAGTAAAAGAATCCTCTGTAAAACTTAGCTCTTGTTAAAATACGCTACATTAATTATGTTGTGATTTAAAATGTAGTATATTTTTATCTTGTTCAACCCAGCTATAAATGGAAAGGGCATATACAAAGAAAGATCAATGCCAAAAGGTTTGGCGTTGGTTCTTGCAAATGGCGGCTGTGGGTTCCGATCTTGATCAGCGTGTGAAATTCCGATGACCTTGAATAAGTAATCTTCACTCATAATTCCAGTCAACCCAGCTGTAAATGGGTACGGATAATCCTGGAAAGATTAATGCCAAGAGGTTTGGCCAAGAACTAGCTGGTAGAAAGGATCCTTAATGATCCTTTTCAAGATCAATGCCAAGAGGTTTGACCATGGACCAGCTGGAAGACAGGATCCTTGAATGTGAAGCTTAGCTTATATTCTTGTCAATAATAGTTGTTTGTTTCTTTCTTTGGAACAATTGATTTAAAAATTCATAAGCTGAATTGATGGTATTGTCTCTTCAAATATATTTCTATATATGTTGTAGACTATGTCCAGCTATTAAAGCAGTATTTGAACATGGATTAAAGAGATCCAATCTACTAGGTAGTAACTGTCATCCTTGGCTTTTTATTGAAGAGGTAAGATTTTCTTTTTCTTTTACTTGTGATAGTTAAAGGGATTGTGAAAAGGTTTTTTGAATTTGCACCATTCCTATTTTAAATCAGATGTCTGGTTTTTGCAATTCCACTAAAAGACAGTAAGCGTTTTATGATGTCACTATCTGCAAAATCTGCTTTTGATAGTGATGTCATATAACATATGGTTTAAGTAGGATTACAAGAACAACAAACATCTGATTGAAAATTGGAATGGTAGACATAATGTTTTTTAGAAAAACTCTTTACAATCCCTTTAAATGTCATGCGTATTTCCTTACAATGTTAATGTTGTAAGCATACTGTATAATTGTGAATATAATGCTCACCCCTTCTTACCCTTCAGCAAAAAATCTACGTCACCGGAAATATTGCACACCCCGTCATTATAAAAATAGGAATTGTTCATTTTAAGGCTAAATATAGTATGCCAGTTATCTATTTGACACCCCTCAACTTTCTAATGAACTCTCCTACACTCTCATTTTTTCTATCAATATGATACTGTATATGTATGATTGGAAGAGTTCACGTAAAATTAGGAGCATTTCAAATTACATCTAGTTAGTTTGAGAATTTAAATTTATGTGCATTTTATGAGGTAGTATTTCTTTAACTCAATAAGGTACAGAAAAGTCAGAACTGCTGATTTTAGAAAAACAAATTATTTTTATGTTAGCAGACGTAAAGTGTGTATCTAAAAGTGCAATCATTATGTTAGTTATATAAACAGAATGATCTAAAATAAGATGGTAGAAACTATTCTCAGTGTGGAATGTAAAGTAGAAATTGCCATCTGTAGTTTAACAAACTTGGAATAGTTAGTCTAGATTAAAGGGGTTGTCATGAAGTTTTTTTTAAACTTTTTACGTGTATTGAGAACGCATCATTTTGTAATATTCCAATTTTCAGTCATCTACTATGGTTCATGCAATTCTACTCGAACTTGGCAGTTTTCAGAAATCGCTATCGCAAAAGCTGCTAAAGATATCTCAGAGATTTTTGAAATAGTGAATGTCCCTTTAAACAATGGAATGTGACACTATCTTATACATTCTTTATATTTGTATCTTCTACAATGTTAACCTCAACTCAAGGATGCTCAATCATCAAATGATTAGATGCAATCAGGGCAGTTGATTTGGATGCATTAGCCAGTCATGGATGCAGCAATTTGATGTGATTGGATGCCAGCGAATACAGCCAATCCGAGCCCTTGACAGAAAGACTTAAACATCATGGCTTTGTGGTCACAGACTTTCTGTCAAGGTCCTTGATTCGATTGTACGCTAGCACTTCATTTACAAACTTCCATGATACAAGAATAGTGGTTTTTGCAGTCAAGGTATAATTGATAAATACGCAGTTCTTTTGAGCCAGCAGCTTGATAATTACACAGGTCTCAATTAATTATTAGATGGACAGTAGAGCAGAGATATTTGCCACACTTTTCACCTTCCCTCCCCTCAAATTTTGCACCTTAGTGTCAATGATTCTTAGGTTATTGACTTGTTGGAATGCGGTCACTGATGATAATAGATATGATAATGATGTTATTTAAAATAACTTATATTATATAAATTTATTTTTGTTATTTTATATTTATTAGATTATGTTTATTTATATAATATTTCTATCTTGTTTGCCCAATTTTAAATGAAGTAGAAGTATCATAAATAATCAACAATTTTTACCAGTTTTAAGTTTTTTGTGAAACATGTAAAAGAAATCTTGTTTATATGATTTCATTTGAGCTGTGAAAAATACCAAAGTTAAAAGTAGAGCTGGCGTTATTTTTGACTTTATTTTTTAGAAAGACTTTTATATCTGTGATGTATGGTATATGACATATAGAATTAAAGATACATTGAGGCTATAGCTCTTTAGGAGTTGCAAGTAAGGCAGAACATACTCTATCTAATACAACACCTTTTATAGTTTTCACTTAATCAAACTGACCTCCCTTTTGTAGAGTCCACATAGATAATAATGACTGATGGAAAATATAGAGGTTATGTAAAAAAAAAAAAAAGAAATTTAGTTTGACATTACTATCTGACATAGAGTCCTGTTTCTATATAAATAATAAACCTATAAAACTAATGTAAAAGATTTGACATGTTGACTTTGTATTCTACAAACATCTAGTATCAATCAGTCAAGAGAAATGTTGTATAGACGAAATTGTGTTCCCTAATCCCTTTTATATATCGTCCAATAGAATTCTGTTTATTTTGAAGAAAAAAAATCAATGGTTTAACAATTAAATGGGAATGATTACATTATTTGTTCATTATGACATTTAAATGAAGTCATTTCAGTGGACTTATTGTTAAAGATGGTTTTCCTTATTTTTTAGTGTCAAATTAAGCAAACTATTTGATTAATTGGTCTTTCTAATGAATTATCATGGGTTCTTAATCTTGTCATTATGTTCTTAAATTGCATATAATTAAGAGTTTTAACCAATCATAAATATCCATGAACGTACAGCCTGGATAAACAAAAAAAGACATTTTGACCTTTCTTGATCGGTCACTCATTGGAATTCTGCTGGAAATTCTCTTCTAATTTAGCTAATTATGAATTAATTATGGACATGTGAGATAAACTGGTATTTTTCTAAGTCATTAGAACACCTCTACTTTCTATAATATAAGTATTAGCATTTTCATTTTCATAAATGAAAATAAGGGAACCCATCTTTAAGTACAAAAACCACTAATTTGTTATATGTTTTTTTGAATCATAAGTACATTATGAAAATGATAAAATGAATGTCATTGTTTGTATAATAAGATCTTTAAATATATGACTTCTGCTTTGTGTTCAAAGGGTTTAATGAAAATGTCTAGAAATTTTTGAAAATGCACATTATTATGAAGGGTATGCTTACTCTTCTAGACACCTGATAATACACTTCATTATAAAATACTTACTCACTTATGATTGATATACTTCCTCATATGAAGTGTGGTGCCAAGCTGGGTATACTTACTCTTCTAGATTCCGGATAACACACTTCATTATAAAATACTTACTCATATCTGATTGATATACTTCCTCAAGTGAAAAGATCATTCACTTCTATTAATGTATTGCCAAACTGTTATTTTGGATTTCGGGTTTTTCGTTTTTGGGGTTCGGATCGTTTGTACTTGGTTTATGTATTAAAATATTACAATGTTTAAAAAAGAATTGTCTTTGCATTCGCTATGTAGGTTGACGTTCGTTGTTATATATATATATTTATATTTTATGTTTTCTGTCTGGTGACATCTAAGTTCATGACTTTTTCACTGGTTTGATTTGTTATTTGCCACCTCACACCTGATACAGGTGATATTATATAACATTAGACCAACAGGTAGATTGATCTCCTGCAGTGACATTTCTTATTTTAAATTTTATCCCCTGGATTTATTATCAATACCCCCTATGATCTTGTTGTCAATTATTTCTATACTTCCTCATGTGGTATATTATAAGAGATTAGTAGTGAAAGGGGTTGAACGACATCCGGCTGTTATAACTTATTGAAAGTAACATTTGAAAGAAAGATCTACCATAAATAAGAGTAATATTAACGATAGTTAAGAAATACTACTCTTGTAAAGGACACCTGTATGGTCCCCTATCAAACTAAACCCAGTTGCCCCCTGTGGAACTATTTCCCATTTATGAATGCAAACATACGCTGTGGGTTATTGGTGAAATTCCTTAGGAAACCAACAGTTAAGCTTATCCTGTAATATTTATAATGACAATACCCCTTGTCTCGTTCTTAGTGTGATACGAGAATAGAGTTCCAATAAAAAGTACGGGCCTAGGTCATGAAGTTAGAACTATATATTTCTAATGTGATTTGGGTGATTGAAAGTTTGTATTCAACAGAAAGCACTGGCACAGGATTAAAGTATTGTTTACAACTATTGAGATGTTATTTTTTAGTAAAATAAGTAATAGAAAGTTATTCTGAAAGGTCATGATACATTTTAATTAGTGAATTTTTTTAGGAAATGATAGAAAAATGTTTTATTAATATCTCTTTTAATTGTGTTTTTTTTATATTTCCAGGCAGCCACAAGAGAAGTTGAGAAAGATTTTCAGAGTGTATATTCTAGATTAGTTCTATGTAAAACTTACAGGTAATAAATATCTCCATATTTTCAATAACATTTATTATATCTTCTGATTCGCAAGTTGTATTTAAACAACTGTATTATAGATAAGCAAGCATTCAGGTCAGATTCAGCATAATATGTTTATTTTTTTTACAGATTCTCGTAATGAACATGATATAAGTTTGGCTTGTACAATTTCAGTCCATTAGCCCTATAAGGTAAAGAACAGTAGCCCAATATCTTGCAAGATATAAAACTTCAATATCATTTTATTTCATTTGAATATTGTATTTTTACAGATTAGATGAAGATGGCAAGGTTTTAACACCAGAAGAAGTCATGTATAGGGTAAGTATTACTTTTTATAAACAGTTTTTTGAAAAATTACTTTTTTATATGCCCATTATGTAGACATAAACTATCATTACTTTATTCAATCTGTTTCCACTTTCAAGCAAGGTTAATATATGATAGTAGACAAAGCCTACCCGAGATTTTAATCTAAAAAGAGATACTGGTGTCTGATATAAGGTGCTATCAGATTTCAATTGGTAATAATTGGATGACTATATTTCAATATCTCAAAATCTGTTTTTCAGAATCTCGGCAATATTTTCTACTGTATTGCAAAAACTATTATTAGATGATTATATCCCTAAGGTTAATCCACTTCTACCTTTACTTTCAGGCAGTACAAGCAGTCAATATATCCCATGATGCAGTTCATGCACAAATGGACGTCAAATTCCGGTCACTCATTTGTTGTGGCCTCAAGTATGTATTTTTTAAAATTCCTTTTCTTTCGATTCATAAAATTAAGTTTGGTGGGTTTTTTTTTTAAAACTATTTATATAATTCCTAGTCCAGAAAGGCGTTAGGAAGAACTTGACTTAGTTGAAGGTCTTCTGTTCAATCTTGTCATAATAGATTTTCTTCCCAGGTTTTCCCCTCTATTGCCTCCATGTGCTACAGATTGTGCAGTTGCAAATCTAAGAGGAGTAGGTCACTGCAGAGCCAAATTTCGTTTACATTAAGATTTTTTAGCCACATTTTTTGCCCCTGCACATTTGTCTTAATCCTAGAAAACATAGTAAAGTTGAACAAATTTGAAGTTTAATATCTTGTATTTTCAGTGAACAAGTATTACATTTATGGTTAGAAACATTATGTTCATGTGTAGAAATCGTGGAGAAATGGTACCATCCTTGGTCGTTTATTAGAAGTCCTGGTTGGGTGCAAATCAAATGTGAACTCAGGTAAGGATAGATGATGTTCTGTTTTTTGGTGTGTGGAAATTTCTGTTCCCTTTATTTGTTTTGCATGTTTGGATACTCGTGGTGTTTTGGAATTCTATTTGTGACTTTATTAATAGCTCTGCTTATTTCCAAGGAAGTCAGATAATTCAGCTCTTATGATAAACCCGCTTAAATGATTTGAAGAAATCAGATTGATTAATAATCCTTAAAGGTGCGGGCAAATGAGCGGTCTTGGTCTGAGATTCGTCTGGTCTGCTCATATTTTCACAACAAGATGATCGCGTCCCTGACAGAATTTAGAATATTAAACAAGTTTGATAATTGTCTCTGATAGTTTTATTGTCTGCAAGACAGAACTTCATCATTAAATCAAATTTGCATGATCCACACGTGATTATCAACATGGTTGAAAAACGACAGACTGGAGATTTTTTCTTCTTGTGGGCCCGTGCCAGTTGGTAAAACTCAAGACAAGACTTTACTTGGAAACAAAAAAACTCGGACCATGACTGTTCGTGTGCCCATGCCTTAAGATCAATATCATGTCTGGATCAATTTGCATTCTCCAATTACACAAATCAGTCTACAATTCAAATTTAATACTGGTAAATAGGGTTATGTCCAAGGAAATGAAATATAACATGAAAAAAACATTCAGGGTAGAGAACACATCTTCATCAATTTCTTGATTTTTTTGCAGGATTCTTGCCAACTATTCCTTCTTTTTGTCTCAAAATTGGGAATTACCAGTGCTGCTAAACAATCGCATAATCGAAGACGCGAAAGATCTTCTTGTAACTCATCATTTATTTAATTGGGAATATTAATTAACTAATTTACATACTAATTTGCATATTCGAACATAATTTGCATATTCGAACATAATTTGCATATTCGAACATAATTTGCATATTATTTTAAACAATGTTAAATTTATCATCGCTGATTAGCATGTAATTAGCATATAATTAACATTTTAATTAGTTATCCCAAGTGAATCTGATATCTGTATATATAATTCGAAACATACAAAATTGATATTCTGAAAAAGTTTTTGAATACTCAGATATTGTAAAAAAAATCTGCTTAAAATTTGCATAAAAAATTTGTGGTACATAATCAGTTTTTGTTTTTTGGAATTATTTTACTTTTATTTATTTTGTTTAAGTTTCTTTTGAAAGAAGTTTTGATATATTTTCTTTATTTTTTGGAATTTTTATTTATTGTGTTAATCTTAAATAACGTGTTTACAAATCTAAGAAAGGGCAAAAGGCAATTTATTTAAAAATTCTTTGCTTATGTTTTTTGCATTTTGTTTTTTTTTCCTCAATTCTAAATGACAATGAATTATATTTTGATCGTCCAACAAGAATGACTGTTTATAATGAATATTATTTCTGTAAGATTATGTTATATGAATGTATATCTACTTTTACTACCTGCATAATAAACCTACTTTGACAAGGTTGTAGCATAATCCAAGTTGGTCGTCTGTCAAAAGTTAGACATTTGCATTATTTGCCTCCGTTATGCTACAACCTTGACAAAGTATTACAATGTTGTACCTCTATTGTATCATGTTCTTCATTTTTTTCCAGAATTCTCGCTCAATTCTCTTTCACCCTGTCTACGAACTGGGAGTTACCAAGGAAACGTGGACCACCTGACAGTCTCCGTGAAGGAGTACGCGACATGCTCATAAAACATCATTTGTTTAGTTGGGATTTATAATATCATGTAAATTATTCAAATTTCTTCCATTTTTGGTGGAGGTTTTTGTTAAAAGGGCTCTTTTAAGGGTTTTGATTTGCTCAAATTTTATGCTCAAAACTTTCAATTATGTGCCTTACTTATTTGGCAAATTCTGTCTTCATGAGCCCAAGGGGCAACAAAGTAGGGCATATTGTTCCCATGTACCTTCATTAGTTCAATAATGTGCAGAAAAATTTGCGGAAAAAGTTTATGAATAAAATTGTAACGTCTTACATCCTAAGTTTAACAATAAAAGGTTAAAATATAAAATCCATTTTGTGAATTCCATGACGCAAATTATACAAGTTATACATATCAATATTTATTAATAAATCCTTATGTATTATTTAAAATCAAAATTATTATTGTTGTGTTTATATAATCAGCATTATTTTATTGTTGTGTTACTCTAAAGTTGAAATCCTAGCCACATTTTACTTTGTATCTTTTATTTGATGTACCCCTTACTTTATGATTTTAGTTGTATCTCTTACTTTTTGTATCCCCTACTTTTTTTGTATCCTTCTTTAGTTGTATCCCTTACTTTATTGTATCCCCTTGTATTTTCTTCTACTATATTCTGTGTCATGGTTGTGTTTATTATTTGTTTAAATAGCAAAAAAGATGGATATAGTATGCCAAGCAGAAGCTTTACACCCCATGACTTGAAGTGAACTCTCCCAAACATGCATTAATCCAACTGTTTGAAATATGTTGTCAGGCATATTAAAAAGAGTTGATTTACAGATTAAGGGGTGTTTTGTCTCCAATTGCTCACTAATCCATCTTTAGAATCGATTTTTATTTCTTTCTTACTAGTAACGTATGTCATGGTATTAAAGCCTCTATTTATGTCATTTTCAATATTCCAAAGTTGTGATGCAGCATGAAGGTTAATACTAAATCTACTGTTTAGCATTTTCATAAAGAATCAAAAAAAAAATTGAGAGAAAAAGAAAACAAACAATGGTTAATATTTTGCAAAGACCTTTTATTTAAAATGGTAGGCTTGGCATTCTCCTCTATCAGATATAGTTGTCAAAATATTGCTCCTACTGATAAATCTCAGGTTTATCTGAGTGTGTCACTTTGTATAATATAATGCTGATATTTACAGGTTGATGTCACAGTTTTCCTTCAATCTATCCAGAGATTGGGAGCTCCCGAAACAGTCTGATACTTTCCGACCTTTCCGAGATGGAGTAAAGGACATGTTAGTTAAACATCATTTATTTAGTTGGGATCTTTAAGGCAGGGGAATTCCCTATTCCAGCACAAGATAAGTAATCAGACTGCTATTTCTATAAAAGAAATCACAATCAGTTTTTTGTTGAAAATTGTGGTATTATTTAAGTAAAATTTCACAATTTTTGGTGATTTTTTCATTTACTTTTTTGCAAAATTATAACTCTTATAATTCAAACTTTGAGATTTTTGATTGAAGATTTGATTTGATTAAGATAGCAATTGTTGACAAACAAAGACCAAACATTGATCATAAATATATTTTTGGCAAAGTACAATAAGAAATGTTGTTCTCTAAGGGTATTTTTTCTCTGTATTCTGCATTTTGATCTGCATTTATTGACGAGAGTAGTTAATATAAGTATTATAGGAGTAGATATGGTGTATATAAAGAGGGTTTAAAGTTAGGTTTGTAAGTATACTGCCTGTCTACTATGGTTAAAATATGTTAATGAATGTATATTGAATATAAAGGAATTTAAAAGCCAAAAATATGTATATGTACTGTTAACTGTATTATAATGTATTGTGTTGTGATACCTACCTACTGACTCATGATAACAACTTTGTTCAAAGATATGAACATGTTCAAAGATATGAACAGATTTACGGGGTACTACAGCACTTGATGCATCTAGGTTTGTCAAATCAGCATTTCTTTCAGAGAGTCCACATAGCTAATAGTGTTTATGTGGTATTTGGCATGTGTTCAGAAAGAGCACATTCCAGTTACTGATATCACTTAGGTGGTAAATTTTTTCAATTTAACATTCATTTATTGACTGATCTAGATCAGGGTTTTTCAACCTGGAGGTAATTTTAAAAGTTTTTAGGGGGGAAGTATAAGCATAAAACTTTTGTACATTTTAATTCAAGGCCTAATCTGTCAGACTATGTTCTCCGAAATGAAAACAATTGCAGGGAAGACCCTAAGAGAAAATCATGAAATAGTTAGGTGCAATCAATCAATGATTCCAAAAGGGGTAACAAATAGTCAAAGGTTGAAAATCCCTGATGTAGACAATGATGTATATATTGGTTTGTCAACTTGGTATCCTCTCAGATAGTTACATACCTGATAATGTTTTAGTTGACAGCTTTGGTTGTCAATTCAGAATCCTTTTCAGTTCATCAGATTATGAGGGCAAAAGGTTATCTGTAGAGGACTCTGTATACTTGTGCATTAGCAAGATATATTTAGTTATTAAGTTATCCTAATTTTCATTAATGTATCATTTTAACATAACAACGATTTAGTTATTTCATTTTGAGAAAAACGACTTGTATTTATTCTACTTAAGTTCCATTATTATAGATCTCGTAAATAATATCATAACTTATAGAGAATCCACATAGCTAATATTGTTTATTTGGTATTTAGAGTTTGTCCAACTCAGTGTTCCTTTTAGGGATTCCACATACCTAATATTGTTTATTTGGTATTATTATTATCATTATGTTTATTCACTATCAGTATTATGGTCAGTCAAAGATGTAATATCCAGCGAAGTCCGTAAAAAATTATTGAATCAGAGCATCAATACACCAAGCATGGTAAAAGGTGTAGTTAGCTAGGCAGCAATACCTGATGCCATTATGGGCTTGTCAACCCTGCACATCTTTTGAGAGTCCACACAGCTATTATATCTAATTCTCTGAACATTGTTTGACCAAGTGCCCTGTATTTCTTAAGCTCAATAATTAAACCAAGTACTAACGATCCTGAAATCCAAACAACATATTGGCCATACATTGATTTTGATAAAGAAAAAAAAATCCAGCAACAAGCTTAGGTGTTTATTATTTGGACTGAGTTCCAAGTTTTTAAGTTTCTTGACTTGATTTATTTTATTGACTGGCCATGTCTTGTTTTTATGTGCAATATTTTTTTTATTCTTGTTGTGTTTTCTGTTGTTTATTTAAAATTTCTATTTACACAAAAATAATAACTGAAGATGCATAATAAACCTACATTCCAATTCCATAAACTAATGTTATCTTAAATTATTTATAATACATCTATCTTGTTCTCTGAGTATGTATCCCTTTTTTGGAGAACCCACATCACATAACTGACACATTTTATTTATATATCTGAGGTTTTCGGAGAGTCCACACAACTAATATTGTTCCTTTGATACTTGAGTTTGTCAACTTGGCAATTTGGCACGCTTCTCAGAGAGCCCACTTCTTGAGTTTGTCAACTTGGCAATTTGGCATGCTTCTCAGAGAGCCCACTTCTTGAGTTTGTCAACTTGGCAATTTGGCATGCTTCTCAGAGAGCCCACTTCTTGAGTTTATCAACTTGGCAATTTGGCATGTTTCTCAAAGAGCCCACTTCTTGAGTTTGTCAACTTGGCAATTTGGCATGTTTCTCAGAGAGCCCACTTCTTGAGTTTGTCAACTTGGCAATTTGGCATGTTTCTCAGAGAGCCCACTTCTTGAGTTTGTCAACTTGGCAATTTGGCATGTTTCTCAAAGAGCCCACTTCTTGAGTTTGTCAACTTGGCAATTTGGCATGCTTCTCAGAGAGCCCACTTCTTGAGTTTGTCAACTTGGCAATTTGGCACGCTTCTCAGAGAGCCCACTTCTTGAGTTAGTCAACTTAATATTCTCTCAGAGAGTCTACATAACTTACAATGTTTATTTGAGTCTCGAGTTTGTCAAAATGGCATGCCTTTCAGAGAGTCCACATAGCTGATAATAATATTTAAATATATTTATTGTATATATCATGTTATAATTTATGTATGTTGATTTCATTTTTAAATTATTTTACTCACATTGATAACTGACTGACTGAACTCTTTGTAAAAAACTGTTGGTGATATAAATAGTAGAGGGAAACCTTCGTATTTAACTTGACTTTGGACTGTTAAATGAGAGGCATAGTCAAATACCAGACATATTTCTGACTTTTAAGATAGTATATGTGCTGATTTTAAACTTAATATTAAAAGACCAAATAAAGTAATCTGATTGGTTAATAAAGCTAGATTTTAAATTGATTTTAGTGATTGACCAATCAGATTAGTTGAAATCTGAATTTTAACGTTTAATTCTCACGAAACTAACCCATACTTCAAATTAAATTATTATGACAGTAATTATTGTTAATGTAATAATATCATGTAAATTAGAAAATATATTAAATTGTTAAAAAATTATATTGAAATTTATCATGAAATCTAAACAGAGTCTGAATTGTGTTGTTACTCAGAACTTGATGTTGTCAATTTTCAGGCAGACTATGGAACTATGTTTTTACCATATTTGGACAATTGTACAGATGTACTATTTCAGTCTGCTTAGTTAATGACACGACATTTCAATAGGAATACACATACAAAACTACTGCATGGTTCAATGGAAATAACACACATGTACATTTTTGACTTTGAATTTTGAAAAAAAAACTGCCATATTTTATCGAAGCCTTCAAACCTCATTCATAGATGTAGAAGTGGTTTTAAATATGGTTTGAAAGCTTTGCTATAATATTAGGCCTTTTTAAGCAATTTGACTGAATAATTCGAAGTAGATATTCAAAATGGCTATGAACTATGTTCGTGTGTGTTATTTCCATGTAAGAACTGTAGGTAGTTTTGTATGTAGGGATACAGGACGATACTTTTCAATAGTTCAGTATGTATGTAGATTGCACATTGTGAAACTCTAAGTTACAACACAATATAATATGGATTCTGTGGTCACATGGTGATATTTCCAAATGG